CTGTATTTCTGTCTTTGTATCTGTTGTGTGCCAGAATATGCTGTTCAAATTCTACAGTATTGCTACTAGTCTTTATATGGCTGCTGTTTTTAATCATACTGCGTTTTTTAAATAATTCATTATTTTATCATTTTAATATTTATTACTTACAATAAAATATCGTCACAATATGACATAATTACGTCTATGAGAAAGTTGCCGACTTCTTTGTGTCTTGCACTTGATAAACGTGCAGCAAACACACTCAGGCAATGGCAGTACCTAATTTAATGCAATGAATATGAGCTTCACAACATCAACATAAGTGTTGTTTTTTTTCTCCAACAAAGTATTTTGGGAAATAAAAAAAAAATAAGGCTCAATTTGCAGCACACAGTGTAACTCACTGTAACTCACTGTAGGCTCTGCATGTACTGGGACAGGAATGGAAAGGCTTTCCAGAGAATCCTCTGGTTTTTAAGACTTCAAGTGATAGTTGTTCGTACATCCAATGGTAAACAGCAAAAATCAACTGCTATTAGTTAATTTAGCTAATTTAATTTCCAAAATGTAAACATATAAATATAGGGCTCACAGTCTATCTCACAGACTCACTGTATCCATGGCAACATTATACTTCCTGTTTCTTGTAAGAGCTTCTCATCACACAAGTGAAGCCTTTTAACAAGACATTCAAAATACTTTCAAAAAAACACATATTGATGTTCAATATGCTCAATATCATTACATTTAGTCTGCTAGCGCCACTGATCACATGTCTCTGCTGCAAGGTTAGGCTATCAAGTGCAAAACAAGAAGTAAGTAACTTCAAAGAATAAATAACGAGATTACAAATAGTTTTTTTCATTTTCTGATTTTAGATTCCCAATGTGAATTCATAGCGTTAGACTACATGAATTCCAACGCCACATGCACAACTGAACGCGTTGTCATATTAACGTAGATAGCAAGAACAAGGCTCAATGTTGTTCTGGCGATTTCATCCAACTTTGTTCCAGGGGTGGAGATACATAAAACGCATAAACACAAACGCTCCAGAATAGCGGAGCAAGTTGTGCACCCAGCTTAAGATCTTAACTTGTTTATGATGTCAGAGCTCTCGATGTGAATGTGCAGATGGAGCAATTAAGCCCCTATGTGTCTTATGGACAGGCACTCAACCCCCAACACCTCATTGACAGGAGTCTGTGGTACTGGAGGCTCCCAGGTGGGAGATTTTATAAATGCGTTTTTATGACTGAGTTCTATCTAATGTGTGCTCAGTAAACCCTCAGATAAATATTCAGTTAAAACTGATTGTGTTATGACAGTGAGTGTGTGCGTGATTGCCATTCACAGTGAAACGCTGACATTTCAGAGATGATGAGTTGTGCCGTCCACGAGGCCTTCTATTGATCACTGAACAGTCACAGAATATCCAACTGAGTGCGTACGCTCCTCGCAGACTAATGTACGAACAGGGACAAAATATTTGAACCGCCGTTGTGAAACGGCAGACATCTCGTTTCTGAACTGCAATAAGCCTTTTCTGATTTCTTCTCGCTACAAGAATAACAATGGCCCATTAGCAGCCCCGGCAGTGACACGGCGAACGGCTACTCCATGGTTTTCCAAACTGCACACAGACATGACTGCTGACTTTCAGGGAACCTCATTAGCTAGCGGGAGAATAACTTGCAATATTTCACTTGGAGCGGTGTGGGGACTGATAGCCACGATGACATTAAAACTGCATGCTCGGGCATCTTGTTTAGATGTAAAATAAAGTGAACTACTGTGAGTCTCAATGCATAATGTGGCTGCCTGGTGGGGGAAAAAAAGTCGAGGCAATCATGTTCTTTTTTTACCTTCTTCACTTGTATTGAAAGTTCTCATCAAGTTCTCTCATTTATTTGCTGAATGAGTTTCATGACCTCTCGGGCCCTTAAAAACCTGTTAAAATCCCCATTGTACAATTTCAAATGTGCGTACGTGTCAAAGGGAAGATAAACTTACATTTCCTCATTCCTGAAAACTTATTTTTTTTCTCTTTGTGTCTCTCTGTCTGTGATTTTGTTTCTTCAACAGCAGTGGTAAATGAAACCATGGTAAAAAAAAATAATGATGGGTTTACAGCTCATGGTCTTTAGGGCTGCCTAAACATTCTTGCAGTGGTAACAGTGGTTTGGACAAGAAAACAAGATTATACATTAATTCATTTCAGGAGAAATATCTCAACCACAACACTTTAGTAAATGGTTTTTTTTCTTTAAATAAAACTCCTTCAGGCTTGTGTGAGTTTCTGTATACACTGTGAAAATGTATTTATCATTTGTGTGACTGCTCAGGAAAACAGGTTGTGGAGTCAAATGCCACTACCTGTAGATAAAACAGGGTTAGCTTAAACCAAAAAGGCAAAGCAGGCAAAAAGTCCAAATCCACAACATGGCAGGGAATAAAGGCTAAAGGGCAGGTACTGTATATATCCTCTAGAGTTGATTAGGGAATTGGGAGCAGGTGTTGAGGTCAGGGGATGGCAGAAGAAGAATTAGTGTCTTAGCCTACTAATGTAGACCAACAAGGACAAATTACTAAGTGGCTTCAGCCATTACATTTTGAGAATGAGAATTGAAAGCTGCAGGACTTAGTGTAGTTTAACCAGGTATGGTTTGGTAGTGATGATGGAAATGACAGCTAGCCTGTCTGTCTTACATTTCAAGATTCTTATAACAAGATATCTCCAAGAATTGGACTGTGGATATTCACGGTCCCCAGTGGAAGAACCCTAATGATCTTAGTGACTTTGCTTTAGCTTCACATTCAGGAACAACTCCAGTATCTTGGGGCCACTAAAGGGTCTTTAGACTTTTTTCTTTTATTAAATTTTTATTAACCCTAAAATCACTAAATAAAAGACCAACAGTACAACAATTTTATATGTTTTTTATTTGCTTTTGCATTAACATGATTGGTAATAATACATGTGTAATCTGATGAACAATTGCAGTGACTGTACAGAGTTGCTTGGGCATTATTACTGTAGAGACATGCTGCTGTTGATTTTTTTCAAATGGCCTTTTTTTAATGGAGTGTGCACAAACGTTTCTATTACCCGCTCTTTAATTGCGGTGGAGGCTTAAGTGTCAATGGTGGAGATCTCAAAACATCAAACAACAAAACCAAAACTAAGATAGGATATAGCCTTTTCCTCTGATTACAACTCAACTCTGTTATAATACAGACAACTATTGTGTTCCAGTATTTCATTCCCATCATCTTACCAACACAGAATCACTCTTTCTGATTGCCACAACAACTCCTATTGTAAAGTTTTGCCACGGCGCATCATACTTTAACCATTAAGTGAGGCGAGAAAAGCTTATTTGTATGACACCATGTCTTCAACGTAGACTTTGTAGCTTCTACCATGTGAGTGAAATATAAGGGCTCCAAAAAAACATCCGTCAGGCCATCTTTCTGAGATCCATCCTCATCCCAGGTGCTATGGGTTTGCATATAGAACGGTGGAAGCTGGCGTCTGTGTGTGCAGCTTGGCGTGAAAATACAACACTTAGACACTCAAAATCTACTCGTATGACTCCTCATTGAAGAAAGCAGCATCTAGCTAAATTGATTTCCCTACTTCCTATTCTCTAAGTCAACACTGCTGGCCAGGAACACGAGTTTAAGTACCAAAAGCGTTTTCTCCACAATCAATACCAAGCTGCTATTTCACCTGAATAAGCACTCTAAAAAAGCTATTCATCCGCTCCGCTTCATCTAAAAAGACGCTGGTTGAATAATAGTGCCAAGGTGGTGTCATGCCTATGTGTATTTCATTCTGGCCACAGAAAAGCTTTAAAATTGAGGAGCTGATTGTCATCAGTGATTTTAAAGTCAAAATGTTTGATTAGGAAAAGGCCTGCAGCTATAAGGCTTTTTAGCCTCTTAATCTCATACTTTGGTTTTACTGCACATTTACTGTGTGGTTCAACCCAACTCTCATCAACCTCGGGGTCAGGACAAAGTTAGCGATCTATCTGGTGACAAAAGTAGAACATCTAGCAACTAAAGAGCCATATGTTTTACTATGCAAGGCAGTTCGGAGGAGTTTTTACAAAGGCAACAAAAGCCTTTGCTTAATCACTGATTTTTCCATCCATGGTGCTGAATAAAAAATGCTTCCTCAAGTTCAGCTCACATGGGTTGGCCTCATGATTGTCTGTTTAGCATGGTTTGCTAGTTTTGTCCATTTTTTTTTTAGCAAAGAGAGCAAGAATTTACAGAGAGCAAGAAGTTCTGCGATGGATTAAACAGACATTGCATTTTTGGAACGCCCCTCTCACTCAGTCAAGTGCAAGGCTGCAATGACAAATCATTGCAGATCAAATGCAAACTTTTTTCCCCAGTAGCTTGAATTTGAAATAAAAAGTTCTAGAGCATAGTTTTTTTTAGTAATGTGTATTACATCTTTCAGTGCCTTGTTACAGCAGGAATTATGGCCACTGTGTCCTCCTTACATTGTAAAGTTTACCTATTGTTTTTATTTTCATGTTGGACTAAAACCAAACTGTGACCCCAAAACTGTGGTTTGTACTGAACCATAATTTTTTTCTAAGCCTACCATTACTACTAGTAGTAGGAAAAAGGTTGTAGTTGCACCCATATATGTATTAAGTGGCACTTCCCTAACAAACAACTTTAAAGTGTGAAACTGTGAATGTGAAGCAGAGTGATGCTGAAGTAGAAGAGTAGGTGTTCACTGGATGAGTGTCGAATAAAAAGTTGTGATGTGGTGAATGTTGAGCTGCAAACACCCTGTACTCCAGGACAGCACTTTATACCACGCCCAAACTTACGCCCACTGTATCCGATTTAAAATGCAGCCGGTAGTTCGGTGCTCTACAAAAACAGATGCTTCACCGCCCACCCAGATGGTAAAACTTATTGTGTACAATTATGTCCCAAGCATAGGTTTTATGTCCAGTAGTAAGATAGAAAAAAGAGACATAACTCACAAGTCAGGGTTGCATTACAATACTGCATTGACGATGAGACTTTATTCACAAGTCGTTTACACCGATAGAACAAAATATCTTCTGTTGTTTTTTCTTTTCTTTTCTTTTCTTTTTTTTTTGTTTATGTACAGTGTTAATGCAACAGACCAGCTATCTTCCTGGAGTGTGTGAAAGAAAGAACAGCATTGGGAAATATGGCCAGTAGAATCAGTTTTCACTTATTTCCACATTTTTAAAACATACATAACAGTAAAAAATACAATGTCTAGCTACTTTGAACAAGCTGTTATAAGGAGAATTTCTTGCAGCATGTATTTGTGATGAAAAATGGAGTAGATTCAAACAACATGACACCAGCTTGCTGCAGTGTTACATCATATTGACACTGCACCACCTTTCAACTTGCTTTAACCATGATCTGCACAGTTTAGAGATGATAATCCTTGGCTCTTGCTCTCCTTGGAGCTGCTTGTGCAATAAATGGTCTGAAATAAAGTGAAGAGATAAACCAACCATTTGCTGTTTGCTTGAAGAGATTTGCTGAGATCGTCTTGAGGCCACAGGAAAGTACAGCACACTCATTTGTTGAATAAATAGCCATGCACTAGTAACATACTTGATACAAATAAGATTGAACAAACAAAATTAGAATTTGAAGGATAAAACTGTTCATTTACTGCCTGTAAAGTAGTGAAATTAAGTTAATTTTACACAAACTATGAGTTGGTTTCCCAAAGTCATCTTTAGATAATGGGTGTGTTCACTCCAAGTATGTTAGTTGTGTTTTGTTCAGTTGAACCTGGAGCTCTTGTTATCTTAGAACTAGCTTTGAATGTAATCCCAGTCAACAAGAATTTACCCTAAAACCCAAGGGTTAATGAGCACAAACACAGTGGTTTACGGCTAAAAGTTCCTTTGTGATTAGAAAGCCAAGAAAAACAAAATGATCTCAGGTCTGATGCTCATATTCGACAGGTTACCAACAGGCCACTTGTGAGTGATGTGACATTTGTTTTCAAGCCTGTGGAGGCCTTTTAATTGTGCAGTGTGAATCTTAATTAAGCCAAGCACAAACATGCACCAATGGATACAGACTGTAGGACTGATCATATCTTAAAGCCCCCCCCCCCCCCCTTCTTAAATACAAAGCATTTATACTTCTCATTACTGCTGGCAATTTGTGAATGCATGCCAGAGAGTTTCAGATGTTCAGTGTAATCTGTCTGCTTTCTAGGCAGCCATTGGTTTCCACTCATTTCCATACACTATGATAATCAATTAGCATACTTCTCAAACTTGCACATCTACAAATCTACATATAATTACAATAGAATTGTTTTTTTTATAAGCTCAATTATTTTTTGGTGGTAATGTGGTTGTAAGTGAATACTTACAGTCCTCTCTGCATAATCTTGTAACAATATTTAGTGTGCTGATAGACTAGACAGAAATGTTCAGAAATGTGAAACAGTGGAACATGATTTAGTTAGCAGAAATTCAAAGTATGGGTAAAGTAAATGGGCTAAAACATGCAACTGGTATCACTGGTATGGTCCTTTAATGCTGCCTTTGCTCCTTTCAACAGAACAAAAACCTTGTTAGTCTCAAGATGCTTTTGGGAAAACCAGCTGGCAAGTGTCACCACAAACTCGTTTTCAATGCAATACAGGTTTAGCTACTGTACATGTACAAATCATCCATTAATGCTACATAGAAGAACTGCTATTCTGAAGCAAGACCATCCTCTTTTAACAGGAAAGTACTGATTAGAAACACATAATTTTATAATGGTCTCATTCCAATGTTCTGTGGTTGAAATTAATAATTCATTATTTAAAGTACACGTGATTACTGCTGTTGAACTCAATCAAAGACTCTCACAAACTTTTGGACAGAAGTTAACGTCCTGCCCCCAGATTATTAAAGACTGCGTGTTCGCCAGTGTTTATCGGAGGGATTTTCATTAAGTAGCAGCACAGCAAACCTTTAATCCACAGGTTAATCCGCTGGAATAAGGCCATTTTAAAATGAAGCGTTACACACTAGCCTCTTTTCCAACTGACTGTGCACATTTACCAGTCCATCTACTGTGTTTTTATTAAGGCAGACACAAGTGTAACTTCACTGACAAGCCACGATGTTGGTTGTCCACGCGAGTGAAAGATTCAGGTTGAAGAAACACAATATTGCTTCCACTAAGATAATGAAAATTACAAAATTATATCTATATGTTATTAAACCTCACATTCAGTATCAGCGTGTTTTAAATTTTTCTTAAAATATATGGAAAATACGGCGTTGCCACACATTTTGGAACACCCAACACCCTATTGGCAGTTTTTCATCACTTACTGTTAAGAATAATTATCCTCAGCCGGAGATGGAAACATTCCTGTGAGTATTTTGTCTCATATCTACGATACCGGGCACTGATGAGATGCAATGTGACACTCTAATGTACTGCATGAAAACATATCAGAAAGCATGGCACTAAAAACCCGACGATACGATTTAGTGATACAACATCTCACGCACACACTCGAAACAAGGGCGTCAATTCAGTAAAATGGCAAAATGGCAAATACTCACATTGAACATAATTTAGGAAATTAGAATCATATCTTGGGCCACTAGTGATGATTATTGGTTAATGTCTTTATTTTTTCTATTAATCCCCTTATTATTTAGCCAGAATATTGGGGAAAAAGCACATTGCAACTCCCCCAAACCCAATGTGTCAAATTGCTAGTATTGCCAAACCAACAGTCTAAAACCTAAATTCATCCAATTTATAATGTAAAAAATAAAAATCCATTCACTTGATTGAAGTGATATTGGTCATAAATCAATTCTAGAGATCAGGGATTGCCAGGACTTAAAGATCCAACTACACTGTGATGCTAAGTGCCAAATCCTGCCATACCCAACTGATGCCCATGAAGGTAACCTTCATTTAGAAACACAACTATGATAAATATACTCTTAACAGACCATACACATTCAATCTATGAAAATGTGTTTAAATATCCCTTTGGAAAACAGGCTGCGTGGATCATTACAATAGAAGGAAGGTCTACCTATGTACAAGACTGGTTCAACGGTTTCCTGGCACAATGTTCACTAAGATGGAAGGGGAGGGGGAGATGAGGAGAAGTGAAAGGAGGAGGAGTGGAAAGAAGGGAGGCAAAAGTAGACAAGAGGACAAAGCATGGAAATGAAGATGAACAGAGGACACATTTAAAAAAAAAAAGACATAATGGAGAAGGATTTTATAAAAGTAAGGGAATGAGATGCAATGAAAAAAGAGACAGGACAAGAGGGAATAAAATGAAGGGAAGCGGACTGCCGTGGGTGTGAATGTGCTGCTTTGGACTGCGAAGAGATAATAGGAGAAAACAAGGAGGTGAAAAGGATTAGGTAGGCAAAGATAGGACGGGATGGGAGAGAAGAGGACAGAGAAGACAAGCTGTCTGGAGTGGAGGAGGAAGAAGAGGAGGAGCCGGTCCATCAGAAGGAGGTGCACCTTCCTACTGTGGAAGATTTTTCAGAATGGCATTTACTTCCTCCGCAACGGTCGTCAATGCAAACTCAAACTGATCCTGTAGGGAAAGGAAGACAGAAAGAAAGGAAGAAAGGAGAGAAAGAAAGTTAGAAGCACTGAAACACACACATAGGAGCAAAACTCTGGAAAGCAGAGTGGACTAGTCACAAGTTTCATTTCAGTGATACAGTACGTGCTGCCAAAGAGCCCTTTGGCAAGATGATGAGTCTGGTGTTCCTGCAAAAACAACAACTTGGAAGATCATCTTTGGCTGTTAAACAATCCTCCAACAAAATCCTCCTGTTGTTCCCCACACAGATTAAAGGCCCAAACAGCATCTTCCCTCATCATAATCAGAAATGAAATCCGAGTGCTGAGGCTGTGACTCCTGACCACGAGGGGAATCAATGTGGGGGGAGCACAGAGAGTGCGTCGTGACAGCCGCTTACTCAGGATACATGGTTTAATAAAGGCTGGATCGATACCACGGATGTTTTACACGCATGCTAGCTTTTCTTTCTAATTATGTTCACAGATCAGCCGGTAATTGAAGTTTCCAGACTGGCCTGGCATCATCCTGTGTTCAGTGTGACTGACAGGTTGTTTTAGGTAAATCGCTGAGGTCTCTGAGGCTGTGCATTGTGTGATACACGATCTATCTATCTGTGGAATAAACCATGTATTGGTCACTTTGTTTTAAAGGGTTCATATTGTGGAATATTATATCAACAAAGGACTTTCTTTTACTTTTGTGACCTCTTTTATTTAATTTTAATTTCGTTTAAAAAACTTTATGGAACTCTGCTTTCATTCAGTTCATAAAACTAAGAAGGCCGCCCTAGAACGTCTGATACTGCTACCCTGGGAGCAGGTTTTAGCAAAGATTATAAGCACCCATTTGAATTCTATACATATTCCTCTGTGATCTGGGCAGACCTGACTATAATCCCTGTTCAATTACATTTTAAGAAATCGATTGATCTTGCCTGATGCGGAGGAATGAACCCTAAAAAAACAGCAAATCCAGCCTTTCTCACAAAGACTACCAGCCAACGTCAGACTTTCAGATAAAATGAAGTTTTAATGGAGGTATGATTGATTGTTAGCGAGACCGTACTGTGACGTGAAGGTCACGGGATTGATCCCAGCAACTGTCAACGACTAAATATCAGATTCAAGAATGACAAGATGATATTTGTAACTTTGCGGAGACGCTCCCTCAAACTAACTTACTTTCCAAACTCTCCCGAAGGTACAACGTGTACCATCAGCTCACAGCTGTTATACACTAATGTGCGGTAGATCACACAGCAATTGTTCCACTGATGTAATGTGTCATTAATCACTGGCAAAAAGCAAAAAGTATCGTGCTGTTCTTAAAAGTGCTGAGGAAGTTAGAGATGCCGCTTTCAGTAGGCCAGTTATTGTAATGTAATTTCACCCTAAGGTATGCCACATTAGCGTAGTGTAACATTTTATATAACTGGGGATGTCGAGAGTTGAATGAGAAGATCACTACAACTCTTGTGTCTGTGCATGGAGATAGAGGTGGGAGTCGCTTAGCTTAGCTTAGCATAGCATAAACACTGCAGTGGCAAACAGCAAGCCTTGCTCTGTCCAAAATTGCCTACCAACACCTCTAAAGCTCACTAATTAGCATGCTTGTTTAATCCCTTGGCTTGTTGTAGCTTTTCATGAGCTACATAATGAAGCTTTGAGTGAAACATGCTGTTCAAGCCAGAGATCCTTGACCATACAATTTATGGGCTAAGTGTATTATAGTTACCGCCATGTTAGATCATTAAAATAGGTTTTGTTTTTGCAGTGTATCACCTGTGGCCTTCCTGCCACAAATCAGAAGTTTTCCACATGAACAAACAGACTTAAGGTGTGTGTGTGTTACCTTGGTCTGAACCATTCCTGGCCTCTGGTCCCGCAGGTGCTCCAGAGTCGCTGCAATATCAATCTCCTTGGCACCTGTCACACACACACAAAACAAAAACACACACATATAAAATGGTGTTGGATTGGGTTTAAGGCGCCACACAAGATAATCCAGCTAACATCTGTCAGTCTGGTGTTTTATACAGGCTCCCTTTAGAACAGCGAAAGGCAATTACATTCATCCTCTTTGCACAAACAAACAAACACAAGCACGAGCTAGGTAGGGGTGTTTTGTTCTCGGGATGAAAGAAGATAAAGAGGGAAAAGAAACTGTTGGAGAGGATTTTGTGAAGGTAATCACAGGCCCGCATGTTTGTGGCCTTTTTCTAAAAGAAACTGAGCCAATCTTAAAAGCTCCTCATCGGCCTTTGATAATCATCCTGTAGCCTTTGAGCTCATGAAGGTTTCCCACCAGAGCTCTGTCAGCCCCTGCCAAAATCTGACATGCCTGTGTGTGTGTGTGTGTGTGTGTGTGTGTGTTGGGGTCCCAGTGTACAGATCCAGTCAGCCTGACTGTGTGCCAGACTGGCAAGATGCCCCACAGCTAAACGACCTCTGGCTAAACACTGTTCAACGGACATTGTGATATATTACAAACGGGGGAGCTCAATGTCTGATTTTACATAGAACTAGCAGTTTTCTCCCAATAAGTTAGTATACAACCTATTACGATAAACACTTCAACATTTAATGCTGTAAATAAATATGTAAAAAGTAACCCTGGGTTGTCAGTGCACATGTGTAGGCGTAGCGTGTGTGTGTGTAGGTGCAGAAGAGGAACACTTGCTGAAGAGACGGAGCCACAGCTTCACTGGTGTTGTGCCGAGTTGTCCGCACCTCATGGGACTTTCGGATAATTTGTCACGGTTGATGAACCACATAAAGAATATTTTATCGTTTTTAAATAGCAGGCTACTTGAAATAGACCCGTGAGGAACCACGACGTGCATGCAGCTGTCGGCAGCATGGCAAAAACTGCACAAGATGGTGAATGACAGGCGAGAGAGGCGAGAGAGAGAGAGCGAAAAGGGTCAACACACATGATTCGACTATCAGTCGACTATAGGCAGGACTTGACAATTCTGATTCGACTATGAAAATCCTTAGTCGGGGATAGAATGGATTTATAGGGTGACCTTTATTTGGACCAGGACCAATGCAGGCATTTAAATTTGGCCTTTATTCATCCTTCAGGGCAAATGTTTAACACAAGGCTCTTTAACACTAGTATAACATAACATTTTTACTATTGCTAAAGAATTATCAGTGAAATTTACAGTTCAAAATGTAATGTCATCAATGTTAGTTTAATCTCTTATAGTAACTGTAAAATATTCTGCCTCAGTATATGAAATAATTGTGAAAAATATTTTTTTTCATAGTCTATAGAGTCCTTGAAAAGGAACATTGGCTATTAATTGTCAGTGGGTGTGTTGTACTTTCAAATAACAAGTGTCATAAAAAATCAGGCTCCAAATAAATGACAGAAAGCAATGCAAACTTGGAAATAGAAACAAAAAGAAGGGTAAGAAAAATACTGTCCAAAGCCTGAAACACTAATGCTTTTGAGGATGGTAATGTATTCACAGTTCATTCAAGGTTTGATGCTCCTAATGTGCTTAAATGAACAAAATAAATGCGTTTTAAGGTGATATTTTTGTTAACATAATAAATTACATCTTTTTTAAAAATAAATATAAATGTGATTTTCCTTTGGTAAAAATCATTTGTGTCTAATGCAAATACCTCCTGGCAGGCAAATAAAGTTTATCTTACTTTTAAAACTCACATTGAGCTTATAATGACATTGTGTCACCTAATTAAGTCAAAGGAGCATAAATAATAGGCAAGAGCTACAGGTACCCAACCATTAGCTGAAAAAAAAAGGAGCAGAAAGATTTGAAAAGGCAGAGGGAAAAATAGATGTTAAGGGGGAAGAAAGACATCTCAAAGACATAGAGAAACCGTGGAAGACTAAGAGAGAAAAGAGACAAGAGAGAGAGAGGCGGGAGCAACAATTAAATTCACAAAGAACAAGAGAAAGTAAAAAAACATTGAATTTTTTTTTCTGTCCACCCGTTTCTCTCTTCCTCCTCCTCCTCTATCCAAATCTGAGGAAACAAAAAGAGCAAGAATTCTCTTTACTTCTTTCTTGTTGTGACACATAATAACACTTCTTTTTCTTGCCTGCATGAGGATGAAAATGAATGGTGGGAGAACTGCTCATTCACACCATTTTCTTATTCTGTTTCACAGGTTTTGTGAGTTTTTTTCTTTTTTTTTTTACAACACAATAGACCCCCTTCCAGCCAGGAAAGCTGCAACACACTGCTTTAGTTTTTCTTCTTCTCGGGGAAGGACTTAACAAGCCGAGGGCTATTGTGCAGGTCCTGATAAACCTCAAAATGGACGTTATATAAAAAGAAATCATCTTATTTGAGCTTTTCCTCTTTGCAAAACTCTCTGTTTAAGAGTGGAGGCACGAAAAAAGGAGGAATGGTACAAAACCCCCGGTCTGATTTCAAACTTCCCTCCTCTGCAAGACCCTCGCTTTGGGGTGGAGGTCGCGGAGCGGGACTGAAGAGGAGTGGGTAAAAGAAGAGGAGAAGGAGGAGAGAAAGATAAAAAAAAGAAAGACAGGGCCCTTGAGGAGGCCGCGAAAGACCCCCGAAGCCAAAGCCGAGAGCTGGGCTCACCAGCTGGACCTGGGGAAAAAAAGCGAAAAGAAATAGAGTGATGCTGAAAAGCTCTCCGGCACTTGATGGGTTTCATTCGATTCTTAAGATGAAGAGATGGGTGGCGGGTGGTGGAAGTGGTGGTGTCGGGGGGGGGGTAACATTAGAGAGAGGAGGGAAATGAGGGAGCCTTTTGGAAAAGAAGAAGAGAAAACAAAACGTGAGAACCACAGCAATACCTCCTCAACCCTGCAACACCGCCATAATACTCAGACCAATTTACAATTCATTCCTTGGGAGAAAAAGAGTGGGAACGGAGAGAGAAGGGGGAAGAGGAGGAGGGGGGGAGGGGGAGGGAATCCTGAGTGATTCTGTGTCTGAGAGGGAGGAAGAAGAGGAGGAGGAGGAGGAGGAGGAGGAGGAGGTGGGAAGTGTCTTTGATCAGGATGGGGGACGCTTGCAAACCTGGGGGCCTCTAGCTTCTCAGGACAGACAAAACCCTCCAGAAAAACGGGGGTGGGGAGCTGAGATGTAGTGATGTAGTGGAGGAGAAAGCCAGCCTATTTTTCTGAGGATGAGATTTTATGAACCTTAGTTACTGACAGAACTCAAAAAAGACAACATAAATTGAGTGGAAATTAAATAGATTTTCGTTTTTAAGGAGATAATGTCAGGGTTATTTCAGTTTGGGCCTTTGGAGACAAAGTGGGGTTTTGGAGTTTGAAAGACATCGATGTTTAGGGAGGGTATTTTAAATGAAATTATTAGTAGTGTAGTATTTAGATTGATCCATACAGCGACTAGAATGCAGGATATTTCAGTCTACATGGTATTGACATATTTTGAAAGGTTTTCTTGCTTCAAACTTCATAGAATTTCAACACAAAATCAGTGGAATCTCCAAAAGTAGAACATTACTGTCTGCATAATGTACCCAGTGTTATAGAATTACATATGGGCTGCGAAACTCAACTGAGACTGGAGTCAAGAGACTAATACCAGAATGTATGGTGAGTTTGTACGTAAAACATTGGTTGATTTTCATTTTACTTAAATAAAACTTTTTGATAAACATCCTAAACATAGTAATTAAATAATTGGGACCAAGATGTGTCAGATATAAGCGGATAATTAAACAGCTGATAAATAAAAACTATGTGATGGCAAGACTGTATCCAAATATTTACTATTTTGCCATTGGCTAGATGATAGGTTTTGTATATTTATCTATATTGTTGTATAAAGAGCAATATTTCCCTGTAGATGCTAAATAAAAAATAAAAAAAAGTCACTGAAACTAACAAAGAGAAAGAGAACTTCCAAACACCAGACAAACGTAAAGCCTCATGTCATCCTTGTAACTCCACCTTTGGGGATTTTCATGTTTTAACTTGAAGGATTACATGCTCCTGTAGTGGGGTTTAGGAGATTCCATGACGCCTCAGGTTTATCAAACCCCTTCAAAGGCAATTCCATGAACAAAAATATGGAGGACTGTTAAAACTCAAAGCAAAGCTCTGTTTCTTCCCATGAAAGGTTTTCTGTCAACATCAACGCTCGATTTCCTGACACAGAGAGTTCACATTGAGTTGTAGGTGGTGAAATCCACTTTGATCTTCACAATAAACACCTCAGACACCTTCTGATCTTGGTTTGATCCCGTCATGTGTTTTCCTACTCAAACAAATGGCCATCCCTCAATGACAAAGAGATAGTTACTCAAATACGCTGTTTATTTAAACCATGAAGTCTGGCATTGTTTTACAATGGTGCTCTGTTTTAATCAGCCTTATTCACAGAGCAGAGCTACCCAACATAAAGACGGACCTGTCCTTAATACGTGTGAAGCCAAAGAAAAAAACAGCTTGATACCTTCCCACATAGAGTGAAGAAACTAAGGTTTAAAAAGAAATCAAAACAATGGGGAGTGATCATTTGCCCGTGATGGTATCTCATTCTGCCTTTTGGGGCTGCCAACCAGTTAAGTTGGCTTGTGCAAAAACATGTTTTTGTTGCAATAAAATCTAATCAAAACTAAATTAGACATCGCAAAGTTTGCAGTTTCAATACACTCTGTGTCACTATAGCCACTTCTGTTTCTGTTCTTCTGTTCTTCTGATCTTTTCTGTTAATGATCCCTCATGTCTTTCCAGGCGGATGCTTCATTTTGGAACTGGGCTGGGTGGCAAAATCAATGCTGAGAACATTTTCCTTTAGATTTGGGATACAGGACAGAGGAAAAAGGGTAAGGAGCACACCCCCCTCGCATCCACCAACTGCATCCCACCCAGCCTTGCCTTTTCCTCCCAGTGTGACAGCCTAAGGGAAAGGCCCCCAATGCCTGACTGAACCTTTGATCTTGTATTAAAGACCCAGGAGCTCGTTCTGCTACATCAGCACCACCATGGGACACTTCACACACACACACACACCAAATCTGTGTGAACTATTGAAGTCTGTAGTCTTTTTCTGCAGTGGACCAACCATGGTGATAAGGAAAGTTGCTTTAGTACTTGTCCTACATAGTAATAATATTAAAAACACTTTATGTAAGAAAATTCACCCATTATGAGTGTTTGCATTAGGGATGTTTTTTCTTAAGGCAGTGGTTTAGAAAGGATATCTATAAATGTAAATACAAGTTCAAGACCTAATCATATAAACTGAAGAAGTAAAAGTCCTTTGTTCCTCCAAAAAGCAATATAAGTATTCTATCTGTAACTGTATATAATCAGACAGAACATTGGGAATTGACACTTGATTCAATGTCATGTGATGAACTGCCACTGTACAGATGCCTCTGCACCTGGTGAAGAGCCATCGTGGGCTTCAAACGTTGTACTCTAAGTGAATGAAGAAAAAGGAGCATTCCTACAGTGCTGTGAGTCCTTGTTAAACAGATCAAAACCGATGCCCCATGAAATATTCAGTCCCCTCCATAACGCGCACCTTTAGCCATCTTGTTGAGGACCATGTCGACCAGGATGTAAGTCCCACTTCTTCCAGCACCATCACTGCGGGGGGGCGGGCAGATTCGGGGTGGGAAGAGAGAGAGAGAGAGAGAGAAAGACATAAAAGTATTAATTAAATGAAACTGTTTGATAATGTCATATGGTTTTGGAGAAAGTACTTTTCAGATTATTATGTCATCAGTTAATGTGTTTCATTCTAATTTTACGCAACACAGCTTTTCAATATTTCTCATATCTTTCTCTTCATGGTAATAAAGAATATTTGTTGCACTGTTATTATGAAAAAATAATTGGAGAGCTGAAAAGATTGCAATAACCAACATAAGTACATGCTATGAAAACCTCTGCGTAAGGCTGAACAATGAAACAATAACAAAAATTTTTCGCAATATAATTTTTTTCAATAACAATTTAACAATTGTTCAATAAATATTCAATAAATGGTTGATTTTTTTGACAAAGATTTTATCATAACTGTTTGGAATGTTCTACCTCACATTTGTGAGGTGATCCACTGTTTGGCCTCAAGTGTTGGTTCTGACCATAAAGAAGAGTTTAAACCACAGTTAACCATCAGGTTTCTTTAACTTTCACTCAGGAGCAAAAATCAGCCTTTAAACTTGAAAGAAATAACGATTTGATACGTATCGATATCGAAAGATATGAAACTTTTTTTATCTTGATAACATTTTTGGCCATATTGTCCAGCCCTCTGCATACACCATATACTGTATGTAAGCTCATCAAGTTTTTATTGCATAAAATATTTACATATTGCACAAGATTGCACAACCTGAACAAGCAAAATGAACCTACTGTAGCTGCCTGCTTGTCACTAAAGTATGTTTTAGTCTCTCGATGGACATTGCTTTATAAACAAAAATGTCATAAATGTAAATGGAAAGATGGTGCGTTTATTTAATCTGTAAATCTGTTTCGTAACATACTACTTTTGAAATAAATGTATTTAAACATGACCTATTGAGATTGTTGTATTTCTTTCTGGCCACACATGATGTTGTTAAGATTTACAGAAAACTCAAAGTCATTCTTTCCTGGTTCACATGGAATCACTCTTTGATCCCTGCGAGAGCATCACACACTGCTACAGTTTGATGTAGACAGGGAACCCGCTCGGCCTGTTTTTCTGTTTATTCTGACACCATCAGCAAACCAAACGTACAGCTACACTTTTTTGCTTTCTTGCCATGAGCTTCCATCTTGTTGACTTTTTACAGCGTTAGTCTGGCGGCTCTGTATTTTTATCCAGACAAGGACAAATAAACGTTATCCCTGAGTCTGCTGATGCAAATTCAAAGAAGACTGTAAACCACTAAAAATGATTCAATTTGAAGTGTTAACAGGCATTCAGAAAAACCTGGCAGCATTGCTGGCTAGTCAGCAAGCCCCACAGCTGCTGTAAGATTGCGCAAATAAGTTCTAACATCTGAATAACACACACCCACAGATTTACTCTAACAATACTCATTTCGTGTCATATACTGATGTTATTGTTGTTTTCTGGAGTGAAGACAGACATAACCTGACTCAGGGGTTAAGTAGGTGAGCAGCAGTCAGAGAGATTGAATATATCGAGGTTTAATGCTATTTTAAAAGGATAATAAACTTCAAAGGCATGTATATATGTAACAGACAGGCTGAAGCTGATTTTATTTTGGTCAGAAATGAAGTAACATCAAAATATAAACCTGTTTAACAACAACAGCTATGCTACTATGTGGTTTGTTTGACACAGATGAAAATAAATGTTCTATTTCATGTCCTGTCACTATGCAAGAAAAAAAAGCAACAAACTGAACATGGTGAAAAAAAAGAATTAGACTCTGTAATGTATGTAGAGGCAATATTTTGTATCACAGATTTATTTCAAGTGTTGAAAATTGTTGTCTGCACCCCTACCAGTCTATTTCATGGGCTGGTATGTAATCCAGCAAACTCAAGTGTGTGTGTGTTTATGTGTGTGTGTGGTTGTGTGTGTGTGACTCCTACACAGATACAACTATCACTCTGATCTTAGACAGTTTGTGTGTGTCCGCGCGCGCGTGTGTCTCGTACAGGTTATTACGGTGTGATTAGATCTGTCGTATCGCTGCACCTTGCCAGGATGATTACAAGGCGATCAAAGATATGTGATGTGATGTGTGTGTGTGTGTGTGTGTGTGTGTGTCAGCAGAAGCCTGAGGGCTGTGAGTAAACACGTCAAGATGTCTGCTGCCTCCTCTCACTCGATTTAAAATAAGAGATGGAGAAAGAGGGGCAGAGAGAGGGAAGGAAACGAAAAAGACAAGATAGAAAGAGACCCTGAAGAGATAGACTAAGAATGTGAAAAAAGCAGCAATGGTAAAAAGAGACAGAGACCCAGAGAGAAAGAAACAAAGGCAGAGAAGTTCTCTGAATGCTGTGCGATTATTGAATTTCTGCATCCGCTCTTCTGTTCGCTCACTTCTCACCCTGATTGCTTCACTCTGCTCTCTGTCTACATTAGGTCCATAAATGGCTGTGCGCAGTTTTCTTTGATAGACTCTGTTGGAAGCTCTAAATAAATGCCTTCAGGATGAATGTCAGAGTTCCTTGATCTATTCATTACTGCAGCCTTAGACATGATTGGCTAGTTGGGTTTAGGAACGAGCTTTGATTGGTCCTCATTTGAGGTTACAAGGGAGAATATCGGTCTCTGATCAAGGCCTGGTGCCTGACATTAAGTCTCAATTTGCAATCTTTGTTGTGCCACATATTTGTGACAATTTGTTAACAAAGCTGACACAAACAAACAGCTCAGAGTTAATAAACTGAAGCATTTTAATCTGTGTTAATATTGGATTTCATATCTACCAGCAATGGTGGCTTGGCAGTCATTTTGCCACAGGTCTGTATACTTCTGTAGTATTTTAAACAAATTTGACATATTGCAGCTGCCTGAAATCCCTAAATACTAGGATAAATGTTGTTTTTTACAACCGCAGCCAGAATAATTCCTAACATCTATCTGAGTTTGGCCTTATAACAAAATAAAGTCAAATTAGACATTTTCAATTGTTACCAGTGGCAGTCATTCTCTCTGCTTGAAAATTGTAGTGACCACACCAGCACTTACAGTCTAAAGGTGTGTTCAATGACTGCAACGCACATTTACTGCACACCAAGTCAATGGAAAGACATGAGTGAATGCTGTTATGGCAGAAAATTGTTTCATCTAAAAGAAGTGAAATCCTATATATTTTTAGAATAATCTATACTGTTCCTGAATCTGTATGGCTCAATTTGATGAATGTACATAGGTAACAAGAGAAAAATGATCAGGTGGGGTTTTAGATCTACATTGCTAGCCAGCAAAAATAACATTAGCTGTACAGTTGGTACATCGGCAATTCGTGGTAAATAAATACACACTGCAACTATTTTACTCATGTCCAAATTGAATAATAGCTGTTACACATAGATACGTCCTAACTGTTGGGGTCATAGTTACTGCAACACCTCTAAATACAAGTGTGTGTAACAAATCTGGTGGTTTCGCTACGCCTCTAAACACTTACATTTACTTGTAGAGTCATAAAGGTAGCGAGGGAATAGAACTAGGATGATCCAGCTGCTATGGCTGGTGCTCCATAAAGATAAGCTTCATACTTTGGTGCAGCCTGGCAATTTAGCCCAGAAATGTACAGTTTTATCATCCTGGAAGAGCCATTACACCATATTAAATAATAGATCACTCAGTGGAGGAGTGAGCAGACAGATATAATGGCTATCTGCTATGGAAGGTTTTTTTCCTCTAATCCAATCATTGCAGGATGTTTCCACAAAAAAAAAGAAAAAGAGTGGCAGATTTTTTCTGTTAAATACAGATTTAATTATGTCTCACTGGTCTGAGTTATTTCCTCAGGTGGTGGGGGTATGCAGATGTGATATCACACACACAACAGCTGCAACTCTGCCTACTTCTATTTACCCGTCTCTCCCTCTCACCCACTGGCTCCACACTGCAAACTTTGAAGCTCCTCTAATTAAAAGTTTCCCTCCGCCGTGGACAGTTTGTCAAATTAAGTCAGAACTTTTTTGGCTAATTTCTTACTTTAAATGTTTGTCATCCTCTACATGCTGACAAGTGACAAATACGTGAGAAATTAAATGGTAGTGTGGACTGGATAACAGAAGCCACAAGGGACCTGGCTAAGTTCAGCTTCAAATCATCTGTGCAGGCATTTTTTTCTTCTTGTTTACTCATTTCCAACATTCACAAAATCACATCTCAGTCAGAACAAATACCATTGCATAGCCTTGAATGTAAGCTAGAACCCTTTAAACAAATGTAAAATAAAATAAATTCAGATTGCTTTAGTCATTATCATACTTGCCTGCAGTGGACTATGATAGGACACGAGCGTCCCCGGTAGCACTTGTTAACTTTTCTGCAAAAGACAGAAAAATAAGCTCAGTGTTAATATCACACGTACAGCAACACACACAGTTAGAACATCATGTATCTGGGCTTTTAAAAATAACACACAGCACTGCAGCCCCATGTGGCTTTTTGATCAAATGTTTTCTCTTTGGTTTTTTACTTACTAAGTGATTATTTTGCATCTACAGTCACCTGAAACTCTGAAAGATGTAGCTTCATTTTCTGTAGAAGAGCAACTTCTTCACGTTTCATGCTGTAAAGCAACAGCAGAATTGATCCCAGCGGCTCACAATGGTTTATTAAAATGCCACAAGTAGCATTTCTTAAGAGCTATACATTTACTGCATTGATGGAAACCTTTCTTTCAAACAGTACCCTGAAAGGGAAGAAAAGGGAGCATTTCTTACGTATTTTATTTTTCTGAAACACAATTTCATTAAATGTTTTTCTCTGTTATTCCACAACAGAGGAGATATCTTTGAGTTCATGTTTGTTGCTGCATCCATACCTGCATTAAAAAAGTTGAGAACTGCCTCAAAGTATGTGTTGAAAATGGAACATCCTAAAAAAAAACTGGGGTTCATCAAAATGCATGGCAGCCAGTAGATCACAAACATTCAGCCAGAGAGCCGTGAGTTTGATCCCAGCTGGAGATCATCTCTGATTCTATTTCATGGTGATAACTCTAAATAACAATATTCAGCAGGAACATATAATATAAAGGCACTGTGTGTGTGTGTGTGTGTGTGTGTGTGTGTGTGTGTGTGTGTGTGTGCGTGTGTGTGTGTGTGTATAATCTATAATGCATCATTCAGTCAACACATCCAGTGGTGATGCTTCAGGTTTCCATGGTCATTTATGCTATGAATGAATTTCATGACCTTTGGGTGCTTGAAGCCCCCTAAATTTTCATTATAAACAGCTTTTCAACATGTCAAAACTTTAAATCTTTTGAAATGTGTTTTGGAACTTTTCAAAACCAGACTTATTTTATCGAAACACCGGAAACTACTTTTTCACCTCTGCTAAGGTAGTTTTCAGGTGCTGATAGGTCTAGACTGTCTGACTTCCTGCTTTCTTACAGTGCAGACACTTTGCTGCTTGCTCTTGCCTCTGCTTGAATTCTTTTGCTGATATTCTTCTTATTTTTCCTGCAAGAAATTATGAGCAGCGGCTCCTAGATACTTAAAAATCACTGGGACTGTATTTTTTTCAGTTAAAGCAGGCTATTGCCATATTTTCAACACTTTTATGATTTTATGATCCTCAGCACTACGCAAGTGTGTCCTACCTAAGCTTCTAGCTTCTTCTCTGACATTGCCAAAAACATTAATCATGCACATGCCTTGTTTGCTACAAGCTGACAAACCCTCCCGTGTCAGAAGCCTCTGAACCTCTCGCTACCATGGCATGCAATGAATATGAGCAATTATAGGCCAATTTCAAACACCTTTGTAGCGCTTAAAAATTATATTGATCTCTTCTGGTCAGGACGTCGACCACACCACAGCATGGGGAAGGCTCTTGTTAAGGTCTTCAGTGACATCCACTTAAACTCAGACAGTGGCAGAATTTCAGTCTTAGTATTATTGGATCTCAGTGCTGCATTTGACACAGTTCCACAACATTTTACTAGACCAACCAGAAAGTTGGGTGTGACTTTCTGACAAAGTAATACACTGGTTTGAATCCTACTTAAAGGACAGGAACAACTTTGTGTAATTACACAGCTGAAAAAATGACCTATGGAGTTCCTCAAAGCTCCATCCTGGGACCTCGTCTGTTTAACATCTACATGCTTCCAAATACTTGCAATGTTAAAAACCACAAACCAAGACATAAATCTTGATGTAGTCATCGACTCAATTCCAACAGCAATATTAGGATGATTGCAAAGTCAGCCTTCTATCATCTGAAGAATATTTCAAGGATTAAATGGCTAATGTCTAAACAGGACCTGGAAAAACGTGCCCATGAATTATGCATATCTTCATTCAACTCAACTACAGTATCGCTGTCTCTCTCTAAAAAATCAGACAGCTACTGCTGATTCAGAACACTGCTGCTTGAAGCCTCACTAAGACCAGAAAAGTGGTTTAAACAGATCATAGATTTCATGTCTGTCAAAGAATTGATTTTAAAACAATACTTGATTTATAAAGGACAGAATGGATTAGGGCCAAAATACATTTGGCCCTAATCCATCCATGATCTTCTGCTACATTATAACCCATCCAGAACAAACTCCCAGTATATATATGATTCCACAATGTCTTTAATGGATCTATTAACACTGAGATATGAAATGTTTTGGAAATGTTCACTTTTTTTCTAAAGACCCACTGCACTAACTTGATTCATAATAAGATCCAGATGAAGATGAAAAATTAAAAGAATGTAAAACATTTTCTATGATCAAAATCACAAATTTAGAGGAACCTGTGGCAGATTTGCACTAAATGAGAAGAAGCACACAGATTCAACAAATCAAAGAATATTCTGCAAATGTGCTATTCATCCAGTTAGTTCTGATATATAAACCACATAAAACAGCGTAAACATTGAGACAGAGTGGCCCTACCCGAGAACACTGCTATTGTTATGTATAACCGAAACTAAATCAAATCTTCAACAATGCTTGTGTGTTTTCAGGAAATTCTAGGACAAACAACTTTCCAACTGAATTGACAAAACATGCATATTTGGCAGTAGTTTTTGAAAGGGTTTCCTAAGGCTGCGAGGTGAACACACTAGCAGGAACATCACAAAAACTGAAGAAAGGAAGTCTATCCACCTAAAAATCCGACTCATTTTCATCCTCCACCCCAACAAAATTGAAAAGTCAGAGCTCACTGCAGACAATTAAAAGTCATGTTACCATGGAAACAGCCGGCAGAGAATCACCAGCAGGCAAGGTTGGGGTGTTCGGGGGTTGGGATAGGCGTGTATTGAGCGGGGTGTGGGATTCAAAGGAAACACCCCATAAGAGGAGATTCAAGATTGACAGAGAGAAAGAGAGACAGAGCAAGAGTCAGACAGAGAAAGACAAAATAGAGAAAGCCATACATTAACTCCATGCTGAGAATAAGAGAGAGAGAGAGAGAGATCCAGAGGGAAACTGATGGAGAGAGATGAGAGACTCAGATTTTTATTTATATCTCTATACTAAGTCTGCTAATTTTAAAAAGTCTGTTTACAGTTAAAAACATGGGTCCACACTAACATTTTCAGGTCATTCTTGTATAAACATCTCAATCTGGTTAAAACTGGGTAAAAACTGGGTAATGTTTCTGTGAACTTTCAACATCCGATCATTTTGTCTCCCCTTAATTTTAACAGGTAAGGCGCCTGTAGCACTAGAAAATGTATCTGCAATGTGAGTGACAGTCATGTATACAATATGACACTGCCATCATTTGTGTAGCACTCGCAAATGGCTTTGTGAAACGGGCCCCTGATATCCATTATCCCCTACAGTGTTTTAAACAGGAATAAGGAAGAGAATGTGCTAAAAAATGTGAGATGATGCGCACTGACGCTGAGAAATAGGACTTGCATGTTTCAAGATGCCATAGAAAACAATGCATGCAAGTGTTTTGTGTGTCAGAGGGTGTTTTGCATTTTACTGCTGCACCGAGATACTGACCAAATCACAATCTTGTGATTTGGATACTCCCACAAAGCCTCCAGCCAGATCTGAGCGCTGCCCCCCCCCCACACCCCCACTACAATGCAAGACAAGCGTTTTCAGATTTATCCACTCTGGAAAGCCTTTTCTGGTGCCAAAACACCCGCTCACTGTGAATGGAGGGCCAAAACACAGGGAAAAACGTGCCTCCCCTTAGTGTGAATGTATTCTCAGAGCAGAAGTCAGAAATCATCAAGAGAGACAGAATGAAGGGCATGAGTGAGTGGAAGAGACAGAGTGAGCATGGGGGGGAGAAAAGACAAAAGCGACCAACAGAAGAAGGGAGGCATGGCTTAAAAAGGCGGAGGAGATCGGAGGCAGTCAAGCAAACCATGAGCTAGCAAAAAGGCGAGAGGTCATCTCAGGTCACCGGGCACAGCGATGAGAGAGAAAGAAGAGTGCGATGAAGGAGGGGAAAAAGGGAGGGGGGGGGGAGTATAAGCGGGGGGGTGGGGGGGTTGGGGTCCATGAGGCCCCTTGGTTGCAGAGTCACAGTCTCCAATGATCACTTTTGTGACTATGCAACTGGGCTTATATTACTAGCTGCAACATCACAAAAATGACACTGGCAACCGCTAGTTAGGGGAAAAGGACAGAGGATTTGCAAGGAATGCTTCGGCTCAGTCAGTCAGTTGTAAGTGAGGTTAAAAAGGAAACACTGGGAAAAAAAGAAGGGCCGGCTTGTTATTGCGTACCGTTTCCCCCGTAATAAAACTGAAAAATATCTCCCTCTGTGCTTTCTTCATTGTGTTCTGACCCCGCCGCCCTCTGAGTACAGGCAATATTTCCTAACTGATGGTGGGTGGTGACGCCCACCAGACCTTTTTATAATAGCTGTGACCACAAACTCTCACTCTTGATATCTCACCTAATTGATGTGCGCCAGCAGCACGGCAACACCGGGCCTATATATAAAACCGAGTTGGGGTCTATCGCTCGAGAAAATCCACAGTGAATCATAGAAAAGGGGCCAGGGCGGCTCCCACCTAATAGGCAATACAGTATATCAGTTTAAAAGAGGACGCAGGTGGGAGGGGAGGGGTGCTATAAAGGCGCCGGAGATAAAGGATCACTCCAGCAGAGTTCCCTCAATGCGTCCTGAATTACACTGTTATCGACTGGAAAATGCCCAGGATATTTGAGGATATATAGATATTTCTCTGCCCGCATCTCAGGGTCACGAGTCAAAACTCCTGGAGAAGTGAGAGGTTTGAAGATATTACGCTATGAGCGAGCCACAAAAGCCACTCAAAGCCTTTGTGGGGTGGGGGAACAACTCCAGGGCCTTTTATTCAACCTCCTTCACTTTCTTTTTGTTCTAAAAAAGAACAGAGTCCACAACCATCACTCACAGATTCTAATATGCTGGCTTGACAGTCTTTCAACTGCAGTACCTTTAGAAAGATATTAAAAGAAAAGGAATACTTAGATGACAGTGCTTCTTTTTTAGGACTTGTTTTGTAAGGTTGGAATTTACATTTCGGAGATGGCATGCATGGACTTTGGAGGCTGCTGAACTGTGTATAGTAAAGCTTGCTTGTAGGTTAAAGAAAATAACGCAAGTACAAACCATTTCCTCATTTTGAATAGGAAAGAACATTTTCAGCTACTATCACACAGTTCTTAGGTCTTTTTTATGTCTATCTACAAGAGGACTTCTTTTTTCTAAACATCATACAAAGTGCTCTTTTTACATTCTGCTTTGGAAATGATTCCTGTTATCACAGTGTATTTTGTCTCCAAAGGCCTCTTTCATACAGACTTCCAAAAGTTTCTTTAATGCTTTCTAAAACCTCAGTGCATTCACTATCAACATTAAAAGCAGGCTTGAGCACTTTGTGTACTTCAAATGAAAAGGAGTTCCAGGAAACTCTTTATGTAAAATGCCTAAAAAGTGTTTATAACCTGGCCAGTACAGAAAAATATGTAAAAAAATAACTGTATCCTTGCCCACTATTTACAGGTTTGGTCATATAATTAGAATATCATCAAAAAGTTGATATATTTCTGTAATTCCATTCAAAAAGTGAAACTTGTATAATGTATACATTCATTCCACAAAGACTGATATATTTCAAGTGTTCATTCCTTTTAATTTTGATGATTAGAACTGACAACTAATGAAAACCCCAAAATCAGAATCTCAGAAAATTTGAATATTGTGAAAAGGTTCAATATTGAAGTCACCTGGTGCCACACTCTAATCAGCTAATTAACTCAAAACACCTGCAAAGGCCTTTAAATGGTCTCTCAGTCTAGTTCTGTAGGCTACACAATCATGGGGAAGACTGCTGACTTGACAGCTGTCCAAAAGACGACCATTGACACCTTGCACAAGGAGGGCAAGAAACAAAAGGTCATTGCTAAAGAGGCTGCTGTTCACAGAGCTCTGTGCCCAAGCACATTAATAGAGAGGCGAAGGGAAGGAAAAGATGTGGTAGAAAAAAGTGTACAAGCAATAGGGATAACAGCACCCTGGAGAGGATTGTGAAACAAAAGCCATTCAAAAATGTGGGGGAGATTCACAAAGAGTGGACTGCAGCTGGAGTCAGTGCTTCAAGAACCACCACGCACAGACGTATGCAAGACATGGATTTCAGCTGTCGCAGTCCTTGTGTCAAGCCACTCTTGAGCAAGACACAGCATCAGAAGCGTCTCACCTGCTGACCAACTTTTATGGAGATGCAGATTTCATTTTCCAACAGGACTTGGCACCTGCACACAGTGCCAAAGCTACCAGTACATGGTTTAAGGACCATGGTATCCCTGTTCTTAATTGGCCAGCAAACTTGCCTGACCTTAACCCTATAGAAAATCTATGGGGTATTGTGAAGAGGAAGATGCGATACGCCAGACCCAACAATGCAGAAGAGCTGAAGGCCACTATCAGAGCAACCTGGGCTCTCATAACACCTGAGCAGTGCCACAGACTGATCGACTCCATGCCGCATTGCTGCAGTAATTCAGGCAAAAGGAGCCCCAACTAAGTATTGAGTGCTGTACATGCTCATACTTTTCATGTTCATACTTGTTTCAGTTGGCCAACATTTCTAAAAATCCTTTTTTTGTATTGGTCTTAAGTAATATTAAAATTTTCGGAGATACTGAATTTGGGATTTTCATTAGTTGTCAGTTTTAATCATCACAATTAAATTAAATAAACATTTGAAATATATCAGTCAGTGTGTAATGAATGGATATAATATCCAAGTTTCACTTTTTGAATGGAATTACTGAAATAAATCTACTTTTTGATGATATTCTAATTATATGATCAGCACCTGTAGAGGCCTGGGTTAAGTAGCTGATGGCGGTACCTCTGGCTTAGTTTGTGCATTATAAGAGTATAACTGGCAGTATTCATGGTGGGAAGCTGGTGAGCGATCACAGTCTTGTTGATGCACTAGTAACTTCTGCAGGTTGGTTTCTTGGTGCAGCTTTGGCAGAACAAGAAGTCTTAGTTTAGTTTGAAATAATTTTACAGTTTTTTTAAAGGAGCTCTACATACCTGCGGAAGTCGAGGAGCGTCCGGCTGGTCTCCGGAACGTTTTGGTTTAGCCAGGTCAGGAAGTGGAACTGAGTGACAGTTCGTGTTTCGTTGGTCTGCATGTTCTTTAGGTAGAAGCTACGAACCAGGAAATCATCGCACCAGATGTGTTCGGACACCAGGTTCACCTGCAAGGACACACAAGTGTACACTGAACACATGTCCTATTTGACTATCACATTTATGTACTAACTTACTTACTAAAATCAACATATCAGTATTTACTTCTTTGTATATAATAATAATTTAATACTATATGCTTTATTACACCTTGATAATCTTTTGGCATAAATAATCTTATATTTCGGGTTTTTAGAAACGTTCACTTGATCATAGTGATGAAGTCCAGTTTGTAGTACAATCATTCTTCAAAGTAGAAATGAAAAAATGTTGCCTGCAAATGTGACTAGATTTGACTGATCATCATATATATGGGGCATCAGATCAATCCAATCAATGCGATCCAAGCCAAGCCTAGCGTGACTACTTCATACACGTTTCATAGAGTCAAAGGCCAATGACATAAAGTTGCAGCTTTAGAACTACCAGTTCTGCTCATGCTGGGTTATTGTACCTCGTAGATGTGATACAGGTTGGATCCCTCGTCGGGCCAGTAGTGGTAGCACTGCTTCACCCCGCTCTCAACAAGAGGCGTCAGCATAACAATCACCACGCAGCCGTTCTCCCATACCATCTGCAAACAAAACACACACTCCATGAGACTTATCGCAGTGGCAGGTAAATTCCTTGACTCTCTCTCTCTCTCTCTCTCCCTCTTTGTGGAGACAAGAGTGAAGAAGCCCGTTTTTAATTAAATAGTGGTATGTTTTAATTTAGCTTTCAAAAGCTGCATAGCAGTGCTTCTTCTTCTTCTGACTTTGTTTAGCTCTATGCTTGTGAGCTAATGAAATTAGTGACTGCTATCTAAAAACAGAGTAATCTCTTATACACTTTTAAAAAACTTTCCTTCTCACAAGTACAGACGATTTATTTTTTAGGCAGGGACTTATGTTACCTAATGTTCTTTAAAAAGTGCCAAAGTTTGTTTAAATGTCAAGCATGCAGCCATTTCTTGAGAGTAGGAGTCACGTTGTTGAAGATGTGGAGAGCTCAATTTGGAAGATCTCATACAAAGCTGTCAACACTTCACATAATCTGCTAACAGGAATGCTGACATGTGTCCTCACTCACCCACTCGCCTGGATATTGGTCCATAATCAGTTAAAATTTTGTGCTATTTATTATTTTGGAAGGGTAGATGTGTCTGTTTTGAGGGAGGGGGTGAAAATTTTATCTTGGTTTGAAACCAAACACTTCAAGACATGTTTACTGTGTTTCAAACTTTGGTAAGAAACGAGGAAGTCAAGTGTTGTGGCATGAAAAGTAATTGCTGTCGAGGCTGTTCCCTCCCCCAGCTGGGTCATTCCACAGCGAGACCCGGCGAGCGGTCGTATTTTTCCTGCTGGCAGTCATATTCTCACAGCCGGAGGGTGGGCTGGCTCTGGAGATCCATTCGACTCTGATCAGAGGTAACAGTCAGCCGTTAATGGAAGCCATAAAACAATACCGCTCCCACATCATCGAGTTAGATAATCAACATGGTCGCACCTGCAGCTCAGTGAGGAGTGCTGCCACACCTTGCCGGAAATTTAACCGCCGTTAACTGCGGCGGGGTTTGAATTACTGCCCCTCTACACAACCTCCTCTCAGCCCCCACTGCTTCCCTGATTGGTCTCATGGATCTAAAGATGTGACGGTGCACATTTTTGAGAAATGGTGTTAATTTGCTTTAACTGACAGGGTGAGAACACTGCTGGTGCTGGGAGGACAAGTCCCCTCTTTTAAAACTTGTTTGGTTTGTTAAAATGTTAATTCACTCTAAACTATTATTTATCCTGGAAAAAAGTAATCTGCGCACTGTGTTCTTTGGTAGAACTGCACAGCTTAACATCATACAGATCATGGATTAACCTCTGGAGGCTGGGCATTGTAGAGTATGTGCCCTCAGCACTATGCTCCAGAATCCTGATGTGGTAGATGTTGTGTTAAGGGATGTATGTGGTGTAATAACCTTGCAGCTCTGATTAAGGACCTGATAACAGTACTGCTGGATAAGCTCAGTGGGCCACAGCACAACAAGAAGCCTGGATAAAGCCTGAGTACAAAGGCCTGTAAAGCAAAGAGAGGCCACTTAATGAACCTGAGATAAATCCATTATGAGCAGCAGTGATAGGCCTGTATACCTGTTGACCTCACAAGACATGCATTTACCGCATGTTGTCTAGATTAAAGATGAATATTATTCTTTTTGGGAGTTTGCATCTTCTCTCCGGGTGCTCCGGCTTCCTCACACCGTCCAAAGACTTCCTCACACCGTCCAAAGACATGCAGGCTTGATTGATTGGTTTCTCTAAAATTGTCCTTAGGTGTGAGTGTGAGTGTGACTGGGTGTTTGTCTATGTGTGGCCCTGCGATGGATTGGCGACCTGTCCAGGGTGTACCCCGCCTTTCTCCCAAAGTCAGCTGGGATTGGCTCCAGCCCCCCGCGACCCTGTATGCAGGATAAGCGGTTGAAGATGGATGGATTATTCCTTTTGAAGCTTTCTCTACGGCTCTGTTTAGAAAACCTTGTTCTCTCATGGACACTGAGAAGGCCTACAGACTGATTTCCCTTTCTGTCACAAACTCTACTACTCTCTTCACAGAAATTAAAGTAGTTTGTGTATTTGTATTTAGTATTAGCCTAAATGTGCCATAAAGATTTAATTTTACTAAAAGACATGCACACACATCTAGAGTAGGAGGTGTTATAAGATGTGAATTAGCATCTCAGTTAATAACAATAATTTAGATTGGGCCCTATTTTATTTAATTTAACCTTTATTTATATTTGATCCTCGCTTTGTTAATAATTCAGTAGAATAACAGAAACAACATAACAGTCATTTTGCTGTGATAATGGGCACTATAACAAAATTACCTTTAAGTATCACAACACAACTTCACAGGCTCACCTTGCTCCAGTTACAGACGTTATTGCAACATACATGGATTGTATCATTACTAGTGCTACTAGTGTTTCACCGTTAGTGAAGCAATTAGCAGTGAGCGATCAGTCAACAGAGAAAACAAATAAATATATAATCTGACTAGGATGTAATAAAATAACAAGAATTTGCATAGCCAACATACTAGCCATCCTGCATGGCAACCAGAACCACTTGGGAATGCAGTGGGGACAGAACTTGTTTGACAAGGGGACCTTTCCTTCCAACACACACCCAAACACACCCTCCCCACTGCTCCCCTCGACACAAAACATATAGGCCACGACTGGCCGGAATAACTTATCGATCGCCTGGTCTCAGATTCAAACCCAATCCAACATTTGGGATGGTGGGAAAAGTGCTTGCTGTTCCCTGCATAAACAATATAGGCCAGTGTGTGTATATAAGTGTGTGTGTGTCGTGTGTGTGTGCAGTGGTGGTGGCAGAGGCATTGCTGGGCAGTGAGCATGATGGTGAAGGAGAGATTAATAACGACATCTACAGAACAAGCTGGTGTCCCGCGTGGCCCGCTGCACTAATATAAATCGGCTAACTCTTGTTTAAGAGAGGAGAACTTATTGATTTCTGTTGGAGTGTATGTGCGTGTACTGTGTGTGTGTGTGTGTGTGTGTGTGTTTGCTTTTACCTGCCAGAAATCAGCCACAGTGGAGGGCAGGGGTCCTTGTGTGGCGATGTAGGCTGGGTTCCTGGGATCATGATCCATCTGAGGGCCGAGGAAAAGGGAAATAAAAGAGGGAGATAAGGTGATGAGGTTATAAATGTTTGATTGTATACTAAAGATAATCTCTTTTTTACACAATTTACGTCTCAAAAAATCAACCTAGATTTAATTTACTGGATCTATTTTGAGTACTGGCCACAACAGCTACGCAGTTTACAAAAATTTTTTACAGCACAACAGAAAATACAGGATACGTTCTGGTACAGCAGGTTGCATTTTGAGTTTCAGGAAAACTTCAAACACAATAAGAAGTGAGAGGGAACCAAAGCAATAATAGAAACCAATAATAGCCTTACAAATAAAAGTAAACGAATGAAATAATCTCTGAGCGGTCAAGTAGGACCCCTTCATCTCAGCGTACATGATGAGTAAGTGCTCTGCAGCCTGCAATAAACCTCAGAGCATCGTGACATAAAGTACCCAACAAACGCAACAAGGTGGCACAAGCATTAATATGCCACCTCACTGCATTTGCCCAAGTCAGCTTGTAAAAACCCTTTGTTTTCCCAAATGACCTCCAGTCCTCTGTATCCTCTTTGTAAAAGAAAGTCTATTTAAGACATGTAAGTTTGCAAGTGCCCTGCGATGGACTGGCGACCTGTCCAGGGTGTACCCCGCCTTTCGCCCGATGTCAGCTGGGATTGGCTCCAGCCCCCCCGCGACCCTGTACGCAGGATAAGCGGTTGACGATGGATGGATGGAAGTTTGCTAGTATATACCATCTTTTACTGCTCTTGCAGTCACAGCTGGAAGCTTCTCGGTGAAGGAGTTGAGTTTTCAGTAACTTAGACTTCTTCCTTAACTTAATGGAAATTGCAGAGATATGGCGTAGGCGCTGAGAGCAAAAGACAGGAGACAACGAGAGGTGAATTTGCGAGGAAGTGAGTGACACCCCTGCCTATTACCATGCAAATTGTATGGTAAATGTAATAATTGGCAAGACCAATTTAGCTGGAAGCAATTACAGAGGGAAGACAGATAATTTCTGGGGCTTTTCCGTGCACAAAATTGTCTTTAATGGCCCTCTGTTCCCTTTATGAATGCCAAATAATAATAATGCACTTCTAATGAACTTAGAGATAGAAAAGATGACATAGTACCGGGGGAGGTTTGCTCATTAAAACATCCACAACTTGAATTGCATCATGGACATAAAATAGCTGGGGACAAAAGAGACAGTTAAGAAGGTGGTCGGCCAGAGTTCTCCACCTATATATGTATGCCCCAAAAAACTATGTGGACACCTGTGTCTATGTATGCTTCTTTAGGTCTGGGCCTATTTTGTATGGTTTTCAATTAAAATGAATCCTACTGCTTCCAATTTGGTAAAAAGCCAGGTCCATAAAGAAATGGTTTTCCCAGTTTGGTGTGAAAGAAACTTGACTGGCCTGCACAGAACCCTGGCCTCAGCACTGTCACCTGTACACCTTTGGCATAAACTGGAATGCAGACTGTGAGCCAGACCTTATCACCCAACATCAGTGTTGGACCTCACTAATGCTCTTGTGGCTGAATAGGAGCAAAGCCCATACTGGTCAATATCCAGAGAGAATTTAACTTGCATGGCTAAAATTACATAATGTCCTCAGAGTGTTAAGGCCTAGGAAATAGAGAAACATGGACCTGGGAGGAATTTGAAGCAAATAACAAAATGTCCCATCTAAACAGTAGGGCCTAGGAAATTAAAAGAGAAAAACCAGGAAGGACAATGAAAGACAAACAAATTGACATAGATAGATAGATAGATAGATTAAGAGACACAAGTAAGAGAGAGGGAAAAGAAAAGGTAAGAAAAAAAGGGATGACAGAGTTAAAAGCAGGTGAGAGACAAGGGTGAGAAAGGAGAAGAAAAGATACAGGAGAGAAGGGTGAAAATGCAGATACACTATTAAGATGGAAAGATGAGGGAAGAAAGAAAGACAGACACTTGAGGTCTCTTTTTATCTGTTTCCTTTCCGTGTCCTTTCAATCACTGAGGTCACACAATGCTTCCTGTCATCTCAGAGTGTCTCCAGAATTAAACCCCGCCATTAATGACACTACTAGCTAAGAGGACAACTGTATCTCTCTCTCTCTCTCACACACACACACACACACACACACACACACACTCCTCCTTAATGAGGAACACTGTGGAGGATGTGACAAGTGCAATTATCCCTGTTATTGTTTTTTTTTTGTCTTTTCTTTGGATGAAACGAAGAAGTCAAGTGTGTGTGTGTGTGTGTGTGTGTGTGTGTGTGTGTGTCGCCATCACCCTGTCTGATCTGTCTGATGAAGTTTCATGATGAAGCCAACTGTTACTACAGTCTGACACCTCAGTGGGGGGGACGGTGACAGTGTGTGTATGTGTGTGTGTGTGTGCGTGTGTGTGCGTATGTGTGCATATGTGTGTGTATGTGTGTGTGTGTGTGGGGCTGCAGACAGACTGGCACTGGTAAACTGCTCTCTGTCAACTACATAAATTAGCTGGGATTGTGAATCTACATATTAGGAAACTAAATAACGTCTACTGTTCTCTTGAAGGGAAGACAGAATAATGGTCTTTTAGATGTGAGGTTTGATTTTGTGCTCAAACTGGCAGAAAGTTTCTTTCTGCTGTTCTATACCTCCGTTTGTGGTCGTCAATATTTAGTTGCTATCGATGGAGTGAAAAACATCCAGTACTTTAAGTACTGTGCTTGTCAGAAAAAAACTAAATAGGCAATTTAAAGGCATTTAGAGAAAAGACCAAAGGCCTTTTTTCAAGAGTCATTAAAAAATGACTTGTTTTACACTTGAATCTGTTGTTCTCTGGGTTTATTTAATGACTGAAGTCATTTGGACATAAAAAAGTGCATTTTATTAGAATAAGCAACATTACCTACCAATGAAATGTTATTAAGACATCCCATATTTTTTCGTTATTATGGTGCTATTAGGTAGAAGAGAGTGGACACAGTATGACTTCTATTTTCTTCAGTGTGACGTGTTAATCAAAAAAGTCAATGTAACTGTCAATAAAGCAGTGAGACATGTATCAGAATGAGTGTATGTGTGTGATTGTGTGTATGCATGATTGAATGGTACCTGAGTGATTGATTATGTCTCAGGAAATGTATGAGGAAACTATTGAGTCTGTTTTGGTCTTACTGTGCGAGTGCTGGAGGTGAAAGTGAGTGATTGATTGTGTTTGTGAGTAACTTTGTTGAACTGACTGATTACGTGCGTATGCGTAACTTTGGGCAACATCCTGCAGGTTGTGTTTTTTAGGAAACATGCTTTTTGACGAGTGGAGAGGAAGTGTGCTTCACTTGAGACGTTTGAAGTTAGAAGTACCAGGAGCGTTCTATTTTATTTTTTATGGTGACAGTTATCAGAATAATTGTTACACTTGGCACAGAAAAATCTTTTTATTTTGTTTTCGTGGTCCGTTTAATCAAGGTCCAACAGGACATTCTTCGGTTAAAGGGGCATTATCAGAAGGTGTCCTCATTACTTTCTTTCTTTGCTAAAGTCAAAGTGAATTGTGGCATTGTGTGTACCTGTGACACAGAGAACTAAAATGGTTTTAGTTTAAGTCCTGGTTGATCAAACCATGCCGTGGTCAGAGGGTAGGGACCAAGCGAAAGCCCACTCCCTGATCCTCCATGTGGGGAGTCGGATGTGAGGCTAATGACCTCACCCAATAAAAAAAAAGCAATCATCATGTAAAAGACTCTCCATAGCTTGCTGGTTGGTTCAAACTCCAGCTGCTGGTGTCAATTAAATCTTAGTGGGTGCTATCCACACAAATATTTAATGAGAAACTGAGGACGTAACATTTAGAATGGCTTTGGAAGGCTTTAATCATGTAATTTAGCTAATTCATACTACCCTTACTTTAGCTGGCAATGAAAACAACATCTGGTTGACTAAGTGGCAACTGTTCATCTACTGATTCTTTGGAAATGTTTTTACCTTGTACGCAGCTGTACCGATTCAAAGGCCTCGGCCAAATGGTAGTGAATTGGCCCTTGCTTTGTTCAACTTTCCAAATGATCTTACTCTTTTTTTTTGCTGTATAACTCATGTTATACACAAAACTACTAATGTGTAAATCATACACAGGTTGCTGGGATACTGGCAGCACCAGACTGAGGTCTGAGGAAGAAGACAGACTCACGGGAGCTCACAGGGGATTCAAACCAGAAGGACAGGCCGTTGTTTTGTTCACTGCTTGTTACGATGCAGGTGGGGGAAAAAAATCTAAATTGCACTCTGGTCAGTTTTTAATGTAACCAAGACCGGTCATGGCATAAACTGGGGAAGGGTGAAAATCTTGAGCTTAGATTACATAACACACATAAACATAAACATAAAAAGAAGAACTCTGTTAAAGGTCTTGGTTAAATTAGCTCATCACCACCTGTTGGACATCTTTGTTGTGGCAGAGAATTGTCGTCTTTCATGAGCAGCTTCCATTACTATTACAATTTACCATTTGAAAGTAAAACTAGTTCATGAGTTCTTCTGCATTGTGATGTTTTTAAATAAATAAAAAAGCTTTGATTTTAATGATCGAATGTCAGTAGAACTAACAGGTTTCTCTAATGTGACAACTGGGAATGACTAGCTCTAGCTAATACTTGCAAACAAGCCATCTCCCCTTGAACAGAACAGAACAACAAAACACAAATTTATCGGGGCCAAGCAACTAAAACATTTTTACAAGTTCTACAGTTATTGACAGACTGCCGAAACAAAATATCAACCACCTTGTCTTTGCTCATCTTCTTTCTGTCAAAATGTGGGTGAGGGCGGTTTGGGGAAATCAAATTGTCAGCAGAGGAGTTTCCTTAAATAAACTCAGTGTGGACCGTATTCCTATACATTAATTCTTTAATATCTGTGTGTGGGAGGAGAGGTCGAAATGTATGCGTGACAGTGTGTGAAATGTGCGTTCATGTGTGCTTTGTGCGTGTCTGTGTGGGTGTCTGCACCGTATGTTCTATGTCATCTGTGTATGTGTATGTATATTATATGAGTGTGGGTGAGCATGCATGGTTGTGTGTGTGTGTGTGTGTGCATTTCAGTGTTTGTGCTTGCTTGCATCAGTGTGTTTTTCCGCGTGTGTGTTTCTTTGTGCATGCGTGGGTACATGTGTCACAGCTGTTTTTGCATTTGTGTATTTGAGGCATTTGACAAGGTCCTTTTGTTCCTGTATAGTTCTGATTCCTTCTAGCTCTCTCTCTCACTCACACACACACACACACACACACACACACACACACACACACACAGAGCCCCTTCTTGGTGTGACGCCCGGATTTGAAATGCATAGCGTTTCTGTTGCTTTTAATGGAATACCACTGTATCTGCCTCGAGGGGAACGTAAACCTACTATTCCAACACTGGTTTCCAAATTGATACACTCACTTACTGCATGCACATGGCTCTTTCTACCCCCTTCTCCTACAGGCTGTTTTGCTACTGCGCCAAGGAAAGGCCTCAGCAAGTCTAGCGCACCCTAACAGTAAACACAAACTAGTGTCAAATTAGCATAACCCAAGGTCAAAAACAATCATTTCCCAAGACCCCGCAGATCAATTTTGTTTTCACAAACGAGAAGCGAGTCGAGAGCCTTGCGCATGTCCTTTCCCACGCTTTCCCCCGAGCGAATACTTGCCCGGGGTGTTTGCTGTAAAACAATCATTAATATTCATGGTGCAGAACATACACACTAACATGGGGCTGCGGCTGTAGCTAAGCAAGCGTTGCATCAAAATTTATATTGTACAACGGTAGGCTGCCTTTGTTCCTGTGACGCCCCGTGGGGACTGTGGGAGCTCGGCACAGCGGCGATGCGAAGCACAGAGTTAGAATGCAGAGGAGGTACTTACGATCGCGCTGGCATTGATGTAATCAGAGTTGCCTTGGCTGTTCTCAACCTTCAAGGTGATTCGGGAGTGATCATCTAGAACACAAATGGAGAAATTCAACACATTTCGTCTTAGATGCAAGTGTTCAGGGGCTATATTGCATGCATTGTAATTAGGCATGTCTTTGCATATCTGTTGTGTGTACAGGCCTCTCACTGTAGCCTTCATTTCCACAAGCAACTAGGTAAGAATGTTTCCATGACCTAACGTCTGTATAACCTTCTGGAATCAAGGTTGTTTTCAGCTCAGAATAAAAACCACCAAGTAAAATTTCCTTATAGTCTAGAAAGAACGTCTAAAAATTCCACAGCATTTAAGAAATTCACCTGAAGTTTCAGATTTCCTGTCATCCAGGAGTAAGTAGTTCACAAAAGGAGAAAACTAGATGATGTGAGCAGCCAAGGGTTAAGTTCTGAAACTCTGGGAGCACTGGTGGGTCCATCTTTACAAACTTGTGCCATTTGGCTAAGCTTTTATGAAAACGACATGATTAAATTTAAAAAAACTTAAATTTGTAAGGTTGAATTTTCGAAGTGTAACGGACAATCCTTCTTTCTACATATAGAGTGAAAGATGCATCATATATAAGTCATGATGTCAGACAGTGGGAACATTTTATTTTTGCATTTAATAAACTGAAAGGAGTTTAGTTGCATGTGCTGTTCACTGTTGTAGGTAGACGCAGTATGCATTTTGGATTTAAAAAATTGCTCTCTCACAGCTGGTCGACAGACATTTTTGGGAGGGACAAATTATCCTAGTTTGTACTTTTCACTTTAGTGAACAGAACTCACAAGGGTCCACTGGTGGTAGAAAAACATTACATGCTAGTGGTGCTTCAAATAAGGAGCACAATTTATCCCTGACAAACTACTTTCCCTGCTGACAACCTGTATTTCATTAAGCCTGGGCCTGGTGGAAAGAATGGGATAGCACTTTTTTAGATGGGCTATTTCCACAGAAGCTTAGAAATTTTAATCATTGATGGGGTCGGTGCAGGAGAACTTTAATAGAAAACTAATTTACAACCCTTCTGCTCACTGCATCTGCTCCTGGTTTCTGATAATAGAGGCCAGGCTCAGAATATAGGGGGAGTGTTGTCAAGAGGAGAGTAATGCCACTACGTGTGAAGGTCTGACATCAGGAGGTGTAACAGACGAATTTTGGTTCCACTGAGAAATTAAGGGTTTCCTGCATGTACGAGGAGGATATCACTCAATCTTTCCTTTACATGTCTTTGGCCATTATCATGCTAAATGTGGTAGCTTTGAACACTAATGCCTTGTGCTAATTTCCAACTTCTGAGACCATTTTCAAGATGAGAAATATCCCAAAAGCACCTTCAGTCTTTAGGGGTGAAACAGCATATGGAATAATGTCCCCCCTGAAATGAATGCCTCATGCAGGCAGCTTTCATTTTGATTATTGCTATTTAAATACTAAGATTTGACTGCTAAGTAAACTAAGAAAAGAAACACAGAGTTCATTGCTTACATGCCACAACAGCAGTGGAGCGGTTCTTCTTGGCGTTGCCATCCTTCAGGCCGATGGTGCAGGCGTTGGGTTCTGCCTGATAAGCACACAGCGCCTCCCACTCCTTCTCCAGGCGGTCCTTGTTTTTCAGGTGATCCTCCATGTAGGACTGAAGGAGAAGAGATGTATGTAAGATTCACCTTTGAGTAAGCCTGTCTTTATGTGCCTGAATCACCAGATGGACAGGCTTTATCCCTTAAGGAAGAGAGTTTAAATTTATTTGTCAACCACAAAATTTCACAAACTTGCCCATGATTTTAATGTTAACATCACAGCCTTTCCTAAACTGTCTGGCAGACTGTTTGCTCGAATCTCACAGGAGCACCAGATGGAAGACGGGTAACAGCTATTTTATCAATCAAAGAAAAGTCGACCAAATACATAATAGGGCTCTTTCCTGTGATTGCCACTCTCTGTGTTGTCCTATATGGCAAATCCCACCCATCTGGTACTCCACTGATGTGAAAAAGAAAACAAAGATAAAACTGTTTATTTCTGCTTAATGCACCAGATGGGTGGAGTTTACTGCATCAGGACACTTCGGTTTACAATTGTTAATCACACACAGTAAAATTGGCAAAGAAATTTGAGATATTATGGTAATCCTCAAAAGTTCTGGCACTCGTTTGAAGAATTAAAATCAGTAACCAGGTCCATTATAAGCCTCTGGTTCAGATTCTGCATCTTTATAAACTTGGTCACACTCTTCACTACAATGGTGATCTTAAAGATTATCCTTTGCGGCAACTCCCCTCCCTCCTGACCTAACCAAAGCACATCCTTGTTAACATTGATTTCTACACGTTAAAGGTTCAGTGTCTAAGATTTAGTGGCATCTAGCGGTAATAGTCTGTATCCTGCTTGACACACCTCTGAAAGTGCCATCAGAAAACATTATTCCCCTAAATGTCCTCTGCCAAGAGATACTGGGGAATTGCAAAAGCGTTCGTAGGTTGGTGGATGTGGATGAAACACCAGAACACACACACTGCAGCACATGCTTTATTTTCAGCATGTGAAACAGTTGCTTTATAATTAATTTGTTAAAAAATATCTCCCACCATGGGACTGAACACACAACCTTCTAAGTGAGAGTCCTGCGCTTTACCAGTTGAGCTAACCAAAAACTGTAACACTAAGTTCAAACATTCTAAGGCAATAAAAACAAAACGGCTCATTATGTAAGGTCTTTATACACCACTGAAAACATAATTATGGATCTTATCTTGTATTTCTGTCAATAGATCCTCAGAAATGTTACACACTGGACCTTTAAACGTGACTTAGGTCACATGATTTACACAAGGTCCGGTAAGCCAGTCGCTGGACTAGTACTTGTCAACACTCGTACATGACGTTTAGGTATGAGGACGCATTGCGTATTTTCCTCATTTTATTAGTTGCACCAAAGCCATCTTAATCTGAGCGCGTATGTCAACCAGTTTCACCTCATTATCTACGTAACAATAGTCATAATGAAGGAAGACCATTTGACTTTGATCAACTGGCACACAGCAAGGACAGTGTGTGTTGTTCACACAGGTTAGCCCTGATCTGATGATGGCCACTTGTAGCCTAGTTAGGAGCCTTGAAAATCAGCAGCACATGCATAGAGAATATGATGGTACGAGCCTTTGTAATGGATGAGGGAACAAAATGAGCTTGTGTGGTTCTTTAAATGGCTCTGGAGATGATTTATGGTGGCAGTTACAAATGGGGCTGATCTTAATCAGAATTAGCTCCCAAAAAAGGCCTAATGGCTTTCTGCTAAAATGAGAGGAGTTTGTTAAAAATAAAAGGCAGCACGTCCAGACATCGGGCTGGCGGAAGATGGAAAAGTTTCTTGATCAAATGCAGACATGGGATTGTAACAAACTCCAAGGTTTGTTATTTGTTAGTCTATTATCCATCTTAACAGGCTTGAACAGCAGGCTTCACCTTTGCACAGCTGCACTGAAAACAATCACACAGGCATACAAAGGCATACACACTAACAGTGTAACACTACCCTTTCCTTGTTGCAGTCTCAGCTCTCTATTATATTTGCTTCATAGCTGCTAAAAGCAGCAATGATGTAACAGGAAGCCGCAAGCTGTGACCCTCCACCTGCACACAGCCGCTTATCAACAGGAGGTCCGAATGCTTCAAAAGACACACATGCAAGCACACACGCACACACACACAGAAAACAAACATAAAGAAAATACACATGCACACATCTAAAGCACAATCCACACATAAAGGTTTTTATAAGGTTACATAGACAAAAACACAGTCCACCCACACACGTACACTGCAAAGAAACACACAAAAAGCAAACACACATAAATACTCACTCACACAGATCCATATAAGCCACACAAAATACAGGGAACAGAAAGGAAAGGACGGACACACAACAAATTCAATACACATACATTCAAATTACAGACACCTTCTGACACACACACACACACACACTTACACTTATAAACTATATGTACAACCAACATGCATACACAATCACACAAAAACATGACCTGTATCAAAATTGCATACAGAGATTCACAGTCATACAGAAGACACACACACACACACGCATGCATGCACACTGTCCTACATCAGATGCCCCCCACCACCCTCTACCCCCTACCCTCTCTCTCCCTCTCTAATGCTAGAGTAATGGGGTTTTGTGGCTGTGTAAAGGGATTACTGCAATCCAATCAGGAGGTGCTGAGATCACCATGTGTCGGCCAAACACTGAATAATCCCCTTACTGCGGGGGGCTTACAGCTGCCAAAGGTGCTCAATAAAAAACGCTACGCAATAAGACTCTGCCCGAGCCGCCATTGTGGCTCTGACGCACCATGTGAGCACCTCTAGGAAACAGCATGAAAGCCGGCAGCATGGGAGGTGATGTAATGCAGCGGCCATTTTGGACTGACAGTAACTAAAGGGAAAGGGGAAGTGGGTGGGAGACATCACTCTGGGATAGAATATTTATCAAGTGCTGTCAAAGTACAACCTGTGCTTTACTTGAGTAGTTTTTATTTTAGGCTTCCCTAAATGTCAGAGTGAAATACTGTTCTTTTTACTTTACTCTAATAAGTGTGCAGATTAAGATTAATGATCTTATTTCTTAATACACATGATCCATTATTATAGATTAAAATACCCAGCAGTTTATGAAGCTCCACATCCACCAGCTTCAAAAATCACAATGCTGCTTACTTGATAATGCATCAATAACAATAATTCTGTGCTAAAATACGATGCCTTGAGAAGGGACATTCTGCAAAATGTATACAAATGTATACTTCTACTTTGAAAAGTACTTAATTGGATAATTAATAGTTGTGTATTTTTACCCTCACTAACTAAACTGTTGGTGTATTCTTTTAATGGAGTATTCTTACATTGTGACACTGATACTTTTACTTCAGTAAAGGATCTGAACACTTTTTTCACCAGTGAGGGTGTCATAATGGTTTGCAAAAGGGTGTTTTTGTGTGTTCATAATAATAAAAGAATTGTTGAAAATTTAGTAAATTTAGCAAAGACATTTTTAAAAAATCTAGCCAACAATTTGAAATGGTAATTTGTGATTTTATATTCCATCCTTGGTGTTAAGAGCTGGTGATTCTGCACTACATTTCCCAGATGTCCCCTGTCAGTCATACAGTGTGTGCTATTGAAACTACTTGCTTGGATTATACGTTGTTTAATGGCCAATGCCAATGAATTTCAGATTTAAGCATCCAATTGCCAATATTTTGTCATGATATTTAATATAAAAACATGTAGTACATTTCAGGTACACAACTCTAGCATTTCCCAAAGAATTTGATTATTTTAATTACACATTTGTGCTATTTTTGTCTGATCAAATGATTGCATCACCATCACTTGCGTTAGCATTGCATCAGTTCAGGCTAAAACCTTCCCACTTATGAATCCTACAACAAATGTGTAATCAATCATCATCAATCAATCTGCATCCATCATATCAAAGGCTGCTGTGTTATTTTTAGTTAAAAGTTGACATCATCCTGACACATGAGTCTAACCTCTCTGCAGCTGAACGCTTCCTCCTCCTCCACTGACCACTTTAGAGTGATTTAACATCCATTTCCTGAAGCCCGTTTTTCTTCCAGCAATTGTCCTGCGACCTATCAACCCCACAGATCACATCCCAGCTGGGCTGCTGGTGCAGTACAAAAACCACAACAAATTCCCAGCACAGTTAATCTCGATGGAGGCTCTCGCTGCAGTATAATCTATAACACTTACTTGGCCAGCAACAAAAGACAAGATAATGTGCTTTATATATAGAGTCGACTAATCCTCTTAAGACACAAGCAAAGAGGATGTAGGGGGAGGTGGTGGTGGGGCGGGGGGCCCTCGGTCCCAGTCACATGGGACCAAGTAATACATTAAACTTAGATAAGATGGTGAAAGCTGTTTCTCCTCAAATTAAAATCAGTGGGTGGATGATGACATAGAATTTGCTCGGGTTTACGAGAGGCAATTAATGTTTTGGGAGGTGGGCGGGCTGGTGGGAGGGGTGGGGCACTGCAGCTCATCAGCTATCATGTTATTCCTTTCTTTGGCGCCCGTGATTTTTTATTAATCGTTCAACAGTTACCTCACTCGAGTGTGTGACAGGGCATTAGATGAAATATTTGCTTTCCCATGGCGGGGCTGCACTCGTCTCATTTTGTGATGGATTTGGTCCCTTGCTATGATGCCGCTCTGAAAAAAAAAAAAAACCCAGGCTCTGAGTTTGCCCCAGATGTGTTAACTAGGTCCCGATTTTTTGGGCATGAAATTCTGCTTAGTCTGCAGTTGACATCATGATGTGTATCTAAAGTGAGTTCTCTCGTAAGTGTAAATATTTTTTTTGTAAAACTGACAGCTAGAACAGCAAAAGAAAAATATGAGCAGTAATATATACGCATTGTTCCAAATTACGGAAAGAGAAATGACAGACAGTAGCATAGGAGGAGGAGGAAAATTAAAGAAAAATAGCGAGGGAACAATGCAATTAAACATGAAGAAGAAATAACGGGATAAACAGTGAGGAAGAAACTTATGGATAGCACAAAAAAAGCAATTGCAGAGAACATTGTTCAATAAAATAGAGAAAGAAAGGGCAGTGGAAGAGGGAGGATGAGTAAGAAAAGTGCGTAAAATGAAATAAAACACAAAAACATAAACATAAAATTAATATCAAAACATAGAAAAACTATTGAATGAAAGATGGTAGATGGATGAAAAGAGGATTGAGGTGGCAAATCTATAAAACCAGGATGGTTGGTGGGCGGTAAAAGACATTAAATAGCAATTTCCTAGATAGAAAACCTGAACTCCAATTTAAGTTCTTTCTATCTTTTAGCTTCAGCTGAAGGTTTACATGCCCTTCTGTGGGCCGAGAAAACAATGTGGCTTCTGAAAGGTTTTGAGCCCTAACCCTAACCCTAGAAATACATAGTGGGCCAATAAAAATCAAGGATGTGTTTGTTTGTTTTTTTCACTGAGGAGTGGACATTTTGGAGATACAAGGTTTCAAGGTTTCATGACATTGGCATTACGTAACTTTCCGTCTGCTGTCTAATGTTTCTGTTGTGGGGGGATGGAGGAGTTCTGGACCAATCACAGCTGCAGTTTGCTTCACTGTAAGCGTGGAGCTGTCCAAGGTTCTGAAACACACTTCTCACACACAGCTCAGAGTATGTTTTACTGTCCTGTCTCTTCCCTCTCTTCTAACTGCTCAAAATCTCAAGGAAAAGGTGGCAGCTAAAAGTTCACAGCTCCCTCCCATTAACTAAGAATCCCACATTATCACTTTCTGTGATGATGACAAACTACTTGAGATTTCTCATTGCTCAATCCTTTTTACTTCCTCAATTTAATGGAAGAGCTAAATATGCCATCAACTTCTCATCAGCACAGTGACCAGTTCATATGGACAGGTTTCATGGGTATAAAACAATTCTAATGAAAATGAGCCCATTTGTGTTTGGGATATATCATCTATTAACTGGGGATAGCTCATGTTTTTCTAATTTTGGATATTTACATCTATCTACAACATCTAGGTCTTTATACAACAATGATACTGGACATCAAGTCCAGACTTGAGTTAGTCAACTAGTATATTTTATTGTTTTATTACCCTGTTTTTTAATCATCCATATTTTTTAAAAGGAGAATTTTTGTTCATGCTTGACCTATTTTTGTGTTTTGTTGAATAAAAGGAATCTTGAAGTCTTCACACAAGAACAACAAAATAGGTCAGTGCCTTCCAAAACTGTTCATTTTAGTTTTAACCATTTCCAGGATATTTCCCTAACCTTTGCAATATGGCATTGCCACGTGCAGATTTTGTAGAAGGAGGTCATTTAAATTTTTCTGGCAATGAACACTAAAAAATAGGGTTTTGCATAATTGTCCAATATCAAGGGTGGGTTAAAAGAAAAAACATGACAGTGGGTAAGAGATGGAATGCGAACCATGGGCCTTGGTGTCAAAATCAGACACCAACAAATTATCCAGGACTATAATAACGTCATGCTTCTAGCTCCTCATTGTTTGCAGAGTGTTAAAGCGTTTGAACATTTGAATTGATAATGTAATTTTTCTGGTGAGGACATTCTCCTAAGACCAGCAAATACACAAGAACTGTAATGAGGAAGCGCCACTCACACAAAAGAGATTCGGTATTATGTGGCATGTATGAGTGATTTAAAAGAATTTGCGGCATGAAATCTCAGAAACGCACACCTCCTCATGAACAGGGGGCATTCATCAGGCTCAAACAAGCAATTAACAAGTTTGTACGGTTAAAGGAGACCTATTATGCTGCTTTTCCAGTCCTATATTGTAGTTCTGTGACTCCTGTATGGCAGCTTTGCATGATTCAAAGTTCAAAGAAAAAACTCTCTGTCTTATACTGGCTTTTCATGTAGGCCTTCATTTCAGCCTCTGTCTGAAACAAGCTGTAGATGCTCCTGTCTCTTTAAGAAAATGCAGTTCAAAGCGTTCAGAAAAGGAGGAAATCTGAGGGATTTTAAATACTTTAACCTCATTATTTGAAGCTTTGGCCATGTTTAACATGAACATCCAACATTGTAACATTGTAGATAAGTCATAAAATGTGGGAAAGCATAATAGGTCTCCTTTAAGAATCTTGAATCTGACTTGAATCTGAGAGGTGTAGGATAAGAATGAAAATTTTTTTGCATGAGGCCCATTATTTTACAGAGTGGGGAATGTCTATTAGAACTCTGAAGTTATTTTAGAGAGGATTTAAGTGGAATATCAGCATTCAAGGGGATGTTCATCTCCATCACCTACACAAAATGTTATTAATCATCATGGCCACATCAGACACACTTGGTCTGTCTCCTTCCCTCACAACATTTACATATTAGTGTCCATATTATACAAATTCAGTAATCACCCTGACCAGCGTGTGCCCACACACAAAATGAATACTTAACAAAACATGAGCAACACTTCACTTCATTCCTCTTATCTCTCAAGTGATGCCGCCGCTGCTGAGATGGCTTTGTCTGGTGAAGACAAAGCCAACGTACCTTAAGAAGTTCAGACCTTGCTGTCTCAAATCTATTTTCATCCACATGTGACCTAGGAACATCAAACGCATGCATCACATCCTATTGTGGGCGCGTATGCCAGAGAAACACTTGCAGCATACACTTTGTGCATTTGTGTAAAAAAAACAGAGCCACTCTCTGCAGCAGCACAGGGCTGCAAAGGGAGTCATTTCTCCTGAACACATCTCTGGTGCAAATCTCTGGGGTAATTAGTATCTTTGTGCCTATTGAACACATCAAAAAGTGCGCTCTGTCACATCTAGCCGGCAGCTTCATAATGCAGAGCGAGTGAGAGAGGTGGGGTGCGTGGGTGTGGGGGGTGCGATGAGGAGGTGGTGCTCAGGGTGGTGGGTGGTTTAATTGAATAGCTATATATTGCAATTATGACGGCGCTCGACAGAATGCGACTGAGGTTCAATAGAGAATTTTCATATGCAGGATAGAGGAGGGTAAGAAGCCTTCTTATAGAAACTGTGGGTGTAATGAGATGTACAGAAGAAAAAAAAAAGAGACACGGACAAAGATGAGAGAGAGTGAGATGGGAGGAAATAGAGAAGTGCGTGCATGTGTGTGAGAGAGAGAGAGAAAGGAGTATTAAATGCAGAAATGCAGTTCCACTGGTTTTGAAAGCTATAAATGGTTTGAAGAGTTAAGAAAAGCAAGTGATGGGATGTTTTGGATAAAAGAGGAAAAAAATGAGGTGTTGAAAATCTCTGGTAGCAGTTTGGAAAGACAAGGGTAAAAAATACTGTAGGAATGTAAGGGTAATAATATTACACTGCCTATGTGTTTTTTTGTCATAGAGGAAATCCACCAATTAAAAACCAGGTTTTTCCTTTTCTTTTCATTTCATTGGAACTGAAATTAAGCTCAAATATCAGTATTTAGTAAAATATGTCTTGTTGGGATGAACTTAACCTTTCATTTTAACTTTATTTCACTTAATATTTCAGACCTTATGTTTACGTAAGCCAATGACTGTTTGGGATGAGGGGAGTGTTTTGTTTTGTTTTGTTGTTTTGCCCTTGCCATTTAGTAGGAAGTGAAAATATTCATCATGCCAGTGTCATTTTTAAATCAATACAAAAGCTGTGGTAATGGTCCTGGGAACAGCTACTTTAATGTTTTTCACAGTGTTTAAAGAAATATTTAATGTAATTTAAGAGAGTTTGCAACCATCTCATCCATAATAATCACATTTTTGTTGCCATTTTCTGTCGCAATTTTTCAGCGTGTAGCAAACAATGATTACGTCCCCATTCTCGATCCCACCTACACAACTCTGATTGGCTGGGTTGTTTTCCAACAGGGGAAACATGAGCTCAACTCAAGAGCTATTTCAATAGCTGAAAAACTGGAGATTTGGGCAGCAATTCAGAGGTCTGGAACCAGGCTAGGGTGACCTGAGTTAACAGTTTGTTCTTTTAGGCACACATAAAACCCTTCCTTTAAAATGTACTTTTGCTTCTTTAGTATTCCATAAAGTTCTGATGTGAATTTTAGTCAACCCTTTTTGACAACACCGGATGTGCAATATGGGAAGTGGGTAAATTAGATTTACAAATTACCATGAATCCCCCTGATTCAGTCAGTGCAAAACATAGTAATTTGGAACCATTAGCCATCCCAGGATTTTGTGCAAAATTCAGCTCTAAATATTTGGATTCTGCGTACAGGAGTAGGACTCTCACTACCACTGTTTGGTGTGATGATTAGTGCCCCGACAGGAAACTCACCAGTATCATGTGACCGGTGGAGATGTCCATGTTCGAGTGGGCGGGCTCTTCGCTCCAGGAGGAGATGCTGCTCCGTGCCGAGGGGCTGACGGCTGGACCGCCATCGCTGAACTGAGATGACACGCTGTTGATTCTGGAGGAGATGGGCTCTGTACGCTCAGCCGGAGGTTTGACCGCCATACGCTGCCGGCAGAGTTCCTACAGGAGGTGAGGTGGAGACAGATTAGTCATTGCTGTTGTAACAATACAAAGAGTTTACAGTGAATACCAATACCAATATAGGTTTTCAATGGCTGATGCTGATATTCAGACAGCAGGCCAAAATATAATGCCGATACATATTTAAAGAAAAGCCATGTATAGTTCATTATTCCATGCAGAGTTCAATCTAATTTACATGGTTATCTTAGCAACAGTAACATGTTATTTTTGGATGGAATTATTATGAATTAATGAAATGGGTTCTGCTGTAGATTGTGTAGAACATGACTGGTGTTTAAGGGAGAGTGGGGTACAGTTTTTTAAGAAGTCATGCATTATTCTCTGCTAGATTAGCCAGTAATGGTGTTTGATTACATTTACATTTATTCATTTAGCTGACGCTTTTATCCAAAGCGACTTACAACTGCTATACATGTCAGAGGTCGCACGCCTCTGGATCAACTAGGGGTTAAGTGTCTTGCTCAGGGACACATTGGTGGGTCACAGTGGGGAGTTGAACCTAGGTCTCTATCAGCAAAGGTATGTGCCTTATCCACTGCTCCACCCCCACAAGATTAGCTGTCATTTAGGATTGAAGAAACGTGTTAACATTTAGAAAAGATGACATGACTGTGGAAATTTAGGGCTCCAAACTTTTTTACCACCTTCTCAAAACTCACAAGGCTGCCTGCAGACATAGTATCCCTGCACACAGTTTTTGAATATCAGCCTCGTGAGTGCAGGTATTGACCGATGCCTATAATCTCAATTTACTGAATATCAGTCTTTCCCTAATATGTGTTGATCTAGATTTTATGACAGCATCGACATTTGTCTGTCATCAGAAAATATTTCTTTTTTGCAATATAAAAAACGTTCAACATCACAAATAAAATAATTCAAAACACTGTGATAAATAGTAATCTAAACAACAATTTTTTTTTTTGTGATATAATCTCAGCACGTTTGACTCAATTGAAAAAATGTCTCTACTGTAGATGTAGCAACAAGCTTCATTACTTCTGTGCCACCTTGATCACACATCTCATCATCATCGTCATGTGACAGTCAGATTTGCATGGTTTAAGGTGTGTTTTGGTATAAAGCTTGATTGAATGTCAGGAAGGTATTGTCCCAAAGTTTATCAAGAGAACCATGACGCTTCTTTAAAAGTGGAAAAACATCTGCAAATCCAGTAGCAGTTTCCTGTTACTGTTTTACTGAGTCAATGCATTATCATAAAAATCATGTTTATCATCAAAGGCTGGGGAATTGTGTCTTGCCAAGAAATTGTCTTCTTTATAATGCGTATTTGTGATTATCCTCATTATTTTGGTTCTCTTTCTGTACTTGAAAGTCAACAGCTGAAAAACGGCTATTTGCTTAATGAGCAAGTGTATGCATGAGAATTGAAATGAAAATTTGATTGTGTTCAGACCTTCATGGAAAAGACTGTGTAAAGACTTGTTTTGTTATACTTCTGTGTGTAAATCACAAATCATTAAACCCTAACAAAACCACATGCTTAACTGTACACATAGGAGAAGTAGAGTTTTGAGCAAAAAGTAACTAGTTGCAAACATCTGGGCCACAATAGTGAATGATTGAAATGTTTTTATCACAAGGCAGTTCATCTCCAACTGCTGTTCTACTGGCCAGCTTCCAGGATGTCAGTGGAAAACAGCATGCAAGCTCAGCAAGCATCCCGGGATAAAATAAACTTTTGAAAAAGTTTTTGGCAAATATGCCATTCAGTGTCTCAGCAGCAAATACAATGTCTTCCTTCATACGGCTGAGTCATTATCTGTCTGCTGAACGTGTGACCACAATTAAATGCTAAGTTGTGAATGTTAACGCCTTTTCTAGACAACTCCCAGCAGGAACTTCAATAAGTGTTGAATGAAATGGGAACGGGATAATTACAAAGACAATATTGCTCTAAATAAAAGTTTTCAGCTCATTCTACATGTTAAAGAAAGACTGCAAAGGCCAATCAGACTGGTTCACCACTATTGATTATAATACTGTAAAAATTGTTAAATTTCTTTTTTCTTTTTAAATTTTGTAGCATCTACAACCCTAACTGATTCTCTAAAACTTTAAACATGCAGTTGGAGGATTTTGTGTGGGCAGATCAAATTTGTTGGAAATGTAAAACAGTTATTTACTTATGTCTTTACATACTAACTTATCCACAAATCAAAAGAACAGGAAAGTACTTTGACACATACTCACAATGACAACATGCTGATGTTAAGCACGTATATTGTTTACCATATTCACCAGCATAGTTAAGTGTGTTAGCATGCTAAGATTTGCTAATTGGCACTAAACACAAAATTCATCTTAGACTGAATGTCATTTTTAATTTTGCAGCAATTTAGTCATAAACCAAAGTATTGAAAAAAATTCTAATTTTGACGTGATAATGATGCTAGATGAACATTGAGGGATCACCAAAGTGATTAGAATTCATCCTGAAGGGGATGATAATCAGTTGTCCTGGCAACCAACTGACCAATATTGCCATCCTAACCACATGCAGAGTTATAGCATAGGAAATTGATCATATTAGTCACAGGAATGCAATAGTAAAAAGAGTGCTTGCTAGGGTTGAACATGGCCACCTCCTGCAATTTCCATCAACTGGCCAACTGGTGGAAAACAGAGTAAAATACATGTTCAGTCCCTATATGATGATTAATACATCAGAAATCATACATCAGAAATCAGTATGTCAGATAAACATGCCCTTGAGTAAGACTATAAACTTCAACTGCCCACTTCATTCTATGTAATCCTGGATAAGCACATCACATCACTTCATGCAATGGAACTGTGTTAAAATAACACAATAATAAATGTTGCCAGTCACATCGTCTATATCTCAAACCATACATCACATACATTAGGCAACCAGGAAACTGACTGCAACAGAAGACCTGGGCTGGATCTCTATGGGTATCTGTGTTGCTTAATGAGAGAGATGCTGATGATTAACTAACGGCGTGTTTGACTGACAGTGGAGGTAATGTGAGCAGGCCTTCATTAGTCTGTAACTGATCTGACTGATATTCTCGTAGGTCGGCACGCTGACACTGATCTATGAGCTCGGACACAGACTCATAAATGTGTGCACATTATTATAGTGCTTCAGTGCCTGGCCTGGGGATACTGACTGCACTGCTGGTGGGAGGCAAACACAAACATGCCTGCATATGAAAGAAGAGAGTGGAGAAACACACATTAGGAAGCACTGGACCGCAGCTAAATATATTTCTGCAGTGCTGTAATAATAGACCTAGTTTTTGTGGAGGAAAATCTTTGTATTTTTCACATTGCACAATTTTCACCTATTAGTAAAAATAGAAAACAATTAAAAATATATCTGATTTTCTGAAATTATCACATGGCTTTGCGGAATACTCACTTCTGCTTGGCCAATAACAGATCATTGTTCCACATCTGTGTTTATAATCCGATTCACTGTGGAATTCAACTGCATTGGCCATTTTTACAATATCACATTAATTTATTGAAGTGTTCGATTGATAGTTGGAGGCTAAATGGATTTATCAGATTTGATTGTGTTTTTATGGTTACAGATCTGCAGAGCTGTAAATCATCTTATCTTGTAACAAGATCATTAGAATCAATATTCTGTATCAAATTGTTAATTTCTTTGATGATAACATGCATACTGTAATAACTAGATACATCAGGCAAATTTGGAAAACCAGTTTGAATTATTTTTTTGTGACAGCTGCCACTGGTACTGGAACTTCTTGGGTTAAAGCTACAATTATCTGATATTTTATCCCATGTTCACCTTTGTATTTGATCATTTTCATGCTAAAACCTTCAAGAATTTTACTCTTCTGAAATTTTGTCTGATCTTGGGGGAAAAGTGCCTGAAGCATCATTTGGAGCATCACGAACACAGACTATTGTTACAGTCAAGCGTGGGGTTTCCATGATACCAGAAGTGGATCACAGTAACTGGCCAATTTTTAATGTTTAATAAAAGCCAAATATTAGCCCCCTAAATTGGTCTAACCCTGGTCTGCCTGTTAAATAACACCACTTTACTTTCTCTGCAACACATCATGGAGCCCAATCAGCACAAAACACTGCATTGTGGGTGTTCTGTTTGGGAGGGAAATACATGATCAACAGCATTCATATTTCAGCAAGCCCACAGATGAACTTTGCTGCTGCAGCAAAACATTTTATGACGTAATTAAAACTGATGCAAAATGGCTTCCCCCCGAGAGCCAATTAGAGGACAAAAAGGCAAAAATTTGACAGAACAATATAACCCAGGAAAGGTTTAGAGTCTAAACAGCGCAAATTTACAGCAGCTCTGAAGTCCTCCCCTCCCTAGCTGTGTCCATACAAACACAAGTATCTTTGTTTACAGTGCATTGATTTTCAACGAGACGCACTTCATCAGGTGACGAGACGCGTCACGTTAATCAGTGTGGTTTATGATCCAGATGACAGTCTGGTGCACATTGTTCAGCTTTGTTTCACTGTTGCCTTTTACTTGTGAATTTATGCTGTAAATGACAGAGCAGGTGATAATAAGAATCAGACTCCTAAAGAGACCAACAACAAACACATTTAGTCTTGGTTCTGCTTAGCGTGGTAGCAGAGGAGCCTAGCAGGTTAACGGATGCCTGTAAGTGAAACATACAGGCATCTGTATGTTTCACTTACTACTTCAGAATCAACTTTTCTGTGTTCTCTATCAAGATACTAAATTCCAAAATACTCACTGATGTTAGTACTTCATACAATAAATTGCTTATAATTTATATTATGGTCCATGTTGATCGAAAATATTTTCTTCCTTGCTGGAATTTCAGGATTGCATACTTTTTGTACTTTTTTTACTATTGCAGTATTGAGTCTTTACAGAGTTTACATTATTGTTCCAGGAGATGCAGGGACTCTTTTGAAAAGTTCTCATTGTTGGTGAGTTCAAGGACATCCAATACTTCAGCCATTTGAATGTAACAAATGAAAAAATTAAACAATAAATAAAGGTGGGTAAATGTCCGCCATGATGGATTACCACACTCTAGCAAGCTTTAAGTCTTTTCAAATTGATTTAAAAGACAATTGAAATTAATGAAAACAAATGTCTGTCTGGAAGGTAGAAAATCAATCTTAAAATTCATGGCAGCACTTGAAAATATGGGATTTTTGAAAACAATTTTAGCAAGTGAACCATTGGTATGCTACATATAAGCTTGTCATCTAAATGACTGAAATGTATATTGCTACATCACTGCAAAATTATGAGACAGTTGATTCGAAGAGACAAAGATGGTCATCGATCCAGAGAAAGTAAAAAATTCAATTTATGCTAAAGTTACTGTGAACTACAACAAAAGTTTCTCTTTGCTTCTCGAAAACCTACCAACACGAGTTTGCCCTGAAGATAATTTTGTTTTGTGGCCTAAAACTAATCTGTTTTAGGCCACAAAACAAAATTATCTTCAGGGCAAAGCATTGACACCAATACTTTTTTTGTCAGGTTCTTTACAGTGCATGTGTGTCTCATCAACCCTCCCTGTATGAATAAAGATTAAAAGAAAAGTCCCAACAACCCCCTCTCATGGGCGTCATGCCAGGGAATCCACTTGGCGCAACATGACCATCTCGAATCATGCATCACCCCGGGGCGATGGCGAGTGTGTCAATGACAGGAGGCGTGTGCCACCCAAAGCATCCCCTCTTTCTAAAAGCCTGCTAATAGGAGGAAGACTGGGTTTGGGGGGTAGGGGTGTGTCAGCAGGGCCCATTGGGCCCACAGGGGCGCCTCTGTTTACATGCCCTTCTGACCAAAACAAATGCAGGGGCCTTCACCGAGTGCTTGGCCTCTTTGCTTGAACAAACAAACAAATAAAAGGGGTATCATGATACAATATGGTGGAGTCGAGGGAGGGTGAAGGACAAGTGACTGAAGCATTGAATAAAAGCAAGAGGAGAAGGAATATAGGACCGTATCTGATTAAGACCCAATAGTGATACAAATATGTCTGGACTACAGCTGCTAAAAGCTTTTACACTGTTAATAAACATATTTAAATATTACTTTTTTATTCCAGAAATAAATCTGCTATCAGAGTTCTGCTCAGAAAGCTTTTAAGCCTATAACAGTGACAGTAAGTGGCATGTTAGTTACTGTGTCTTTAATCACTGTATTTATTTGTAAGCAGTCTCCTTTGCTAGGAGATTTAAAAACTCAACTAATTTCCCAAAGCCAGCATGTCCATTGTCATAGAACCTGTGGCAGTCACCATGCTGAAAGCCTTGCTAACTGTACATGTTGAATTGAGATTAGCATGGACTCACGTTGCCAGACTAATGACTAGACTATGTTTGCTTTGTGCTAGTGCAGGTGGAAAGTCCAGCAGAGCCTATTCTGCCATATCTATGCACATAAAAACTGCTGGTTTGTTTGAATTTCATAAACCAGTGGACAAAGGACAGATCAGAAGTGAGCTCAACAGGACTGGCTTAAATGTTTCTGACGTTCTATTTGACAAAAACCCATGGATTGTCTTCAGTGACCATGTTCAATGCCAAAGTTGCCAAAACTAGAACTTGGTAACTACAATGGTTAGAAACAGGGAAGGATGGCTGTCATGTTATAAAGAACTAACTAATTATTTGAATTGTAAAAACGGCACTGCAAGGGTTTGTGCAAAAATTCAATGTAAGATTAAAACTAAAATGAGTTCAGGATAAGGACTTCCCAAAGACAAGCCGTTTAATATTGATTAACTGTAGGATATGTGATCAATCACATAACATTCTTTCCATCACATCAGTGGTACATGACACCGAATGGAAACATTGCGATTTTTAATCAAAGGCTGTTATCAGCAAACTGATGTATTCACCGAGGAGCAGGAGAGAGAGAGAGAGAGAGAGAGAGAGAGAGAGAGAGAGAGGGGAAAACTGAAGACAGGAAATAAATAACACAATCGACATAGGGAGAAAGGAGGTGTAGGACAGTCTTGGAACAAGAGTTATTGTTTGCTTGTTTAATCTAAATTGAGATGGACTGGAAATGTGTTTTGCACTTATTCTTTGGCAGTGTAACGATGATGTTATCGTGCCTGTGAAGGTCCTTGAAATTAAATGGAAACAGACAGAGAAAACAGACACAGTGTGAGGCAGGCTGTGGGAGGCAAACAAATTTTACAGGGGGAAAAAAATATCTTTAACAAGTCATTTAGTCTTGTCTTGTGTCTTAAAAACTTGAGAAAATATGCAAATATGTTGAGATATCGACACTATTTTCCAAAGCATTTCTCATGTTTCAAGAAATTTCATGGTGTGGGTGATGATATCTTTAAATAAGATAATATTGCTTCAAGATGATATCTCTTGATTTGTGGAAAATCCATGCAAAAAGTTCCACTGCAATCAAGTGCAATGATCTCACCCTGCTGGCGGATAGTTTCTCAAACTTTGAGGAATAAAGAAAGACTTTTAGGAGCAGATAAAAGTTTGAATCAGATGTAAAGATAAACTGAGGGAGACGTCGTATACTCCCATGTCGACAGCAGGGTAATCCAGGGACTGACTGACTGACGAGCATCATCCACCATCTCCCCGCCCAGCGCTCAGACACCGTGCACCAACTCCTCCGTCGACGCCTGTCAGTCAATGTCTCCTTTGTCAGTGTCAGCCAATCTCATGTCACGGTTTCACAGGGACCGTTTGATTGACAAGCCAGGGAGCGGAGGAGCGGAGAGCCGAAGGTGGAGGGGATTCAGAGGGAGCTGGTGGCATGGATACGTGAATGGAAGAATGGAAGTGTGTGTGTGTGTGTGTGTGTGTGTGTGTGTGTGTAGGCGTGTAAGTGTGCGAAGTGAGGCCTCAAACAAACGTGCCGAGGGTGAGAATCATTAACATGCAGTAGCTGGTGAGTGTGCGCATGCATATATGTGTGTGTTTGTGCATGCTTATGTGTGAATGCTCGTGTGAGTGTGTGTGTGTGTGTGTTTGACAGCTAGTATGAAGGAGATGCAGTAGTAAGGCCGTCAGGCAGCCTGCCGCTTCCTGTCTGCTTTAATTGCATGTAGCCCAAGAGACTACACACACACACACACACACAGAATCCAGCCCAGGGAACCCCTCCACACAGCAGCGCTGACAAAGAGACGAGGCTTACACGGCTAAGATGGGAGCTGAACACAGAGGTCTTTCACTGAGGATGACGACGGCTCGCTGTCGAGACTCGATAAAGACGACAGAGGAAAGAGAATCAACTGGAAGAGCTTTGGGAGTCTGAGCAAAGCAGGGCTGAGTAAACCTCCCAAGAATGAGCAACATGGATGTTTTTGTTAGCTATTAATCAGATAAACAATGAGTAAACACAGTCTTAAGTGTGAATTTTAATTAGCATTTTCCAATTAGAGGCTTAAAGCGAATCTCGGAGGCAAGTAACCGTGAAGATAAGTTTCTCCCACTGAGGAAAATCAAATATTTATGTCGACAGCGGAAGGTGTAGAGCTGAAATGTCAGCCTGTCATTGGACATGTTGAATGTCAGACTCTTCTTTTAGGCGGTATTTCAGTCTTATGAAGTGCGTCCCTTTTCATACTCATATTTTAGTTTCCATCCTCCTCCTCGTTGATAAAAAATAGATTTTCCTGCAAAAAATTGACATCATGACTTTTTCCCTGGTGGTGAGGTAAACCTCAAACGCAGCAGCAAAGTCTGTTTCAGGAGTTAAAAATCTCTGGAGAGCAGCATAAAGTGTAAGCACTTAGGGGGATGGGCTAGGCTCATTATAAAATCAATGCTCACAGGACCACTCTCATTTAAAAACATGGTTGGGAAAAGGTCAGGGAGAGAGACGGAAAAATCTCAATCTAATTCTTTGCTTAAAAAGCCACTTAATATTGGATTGTGTAAATTAAATTTCACACCCGGCTATTCTGGCCAAAGGATAATTACAGCAAGCAGAGGGGGGGTGTGGAAATGACTTGAGGTGGAAAACCTGTTGGATTGGTGATATTCCTTCATGTCTCAACCAATACGTTGTAGCAGAAGCCTGAGTAGAGCATTATAGCAGTCACCACACAGCATCAATCTAGTAACATGACAATATAAAATAACAGAAACTGAGGTTGACTGGATGAAGCAGAAGGCTACACAAATTTTGCTGAGTTTTGTGAAACACATAAAAAATCGGAGGGTTTGCTAAATGGGTAACAGGATAGTATGTAAAGCATCTGTTTGCTGTATTAAATTCTTACTCTTGCGTTTTTAATTTTACAGTGAAATACTATATGATTTTACCTTATTAAAAAACTTGTTGGTTGAACTCACAACCAGTAAACAGGGATCCCAAAATGCACATGACTTCATTTTAAGGGATCACAAGGAAAAAACATTTGGGAACCACGGTCCTGTCCCAATCCTGCATCTTTTATTACAGTTAGAAAAACATCAAATTCAAATCTTTACCGAAATTCTTTTCAATTCACACTCACAGATGGTGCAGTAGCACGTCCTACCTGATAGGTGGCGGTAGCATCGCTGCCGGTGTCTGTTCCCAGATTGGTGAGCTTCTCTTTGAGCTTGTGGTGGGAGCGGTGGCGGAGGCAGTAGACCACGGTGGAGGCCAGCAGAACACCAACGATGCACAGGATGGACACAATAGTGAGGATGAGGAACTTAGTGGACTCTGCCTGGCTGTACTTGGTTGGGATCTGGTTGATCTGGCTTTCCTGTGGGCCACAAAAGAACAGATAAAAAGGGTTGATAATATGTTTTATAATAATATATAATAATAATATGTAGAGCGTGGTACTCTCACAGGCGTGATAAGAGATTTGATTCATCCACCATGCTAAAAATGTCTGAGCTCGTGACGGCAGCAGTTGCTTTAGAATAAACTGCAGGGGTGTATAAACGACACAAGGTGATTTTACTGATCAATCAGATCAAACTAATCTGCAAAATCATCTGGCAGAGTGTTTGATTGGAACAACCCTGCAGACTCAGTGCTTCATGGCACAGACTTTGATACCGCACGATTAAAGCATCCACCAAATGGTCCAAAAAAACAAGTCACACTGAAATCCTTCATTAGACAGTAATCTATCTGAACCCCCTTAAAAGCGTTAATTATTTTTTTGCTTGCAATGACCACCCCCCCCAAAAAAACGTTTGATTGTACATCAGTAGATGAAAGTGTAAATCACATGGTTCTTTTCTTTCCTTTTTTGGAAAGACATAAATATGCATATCACTGTGCTCGATGAAAAGTATAATCACAAGCGTTTGTTCCACCATCTGTGCCCAGGAGTGCATAGAATGCATAAACTCCTGTTTAGCAAAGCATTCTGGATGTGCCTAGACAGCTCAACCCACCGTTTGCTACACTGGAGAAATTTTGTTCCACTGTGAACAGAGGCAACAGACGTTCAGTGCGTGAGAACCAGATCCTTCAGCAAACAACTGGAGATGAAAGATTTCTTTTCGCACAGCGTGCTGCTTAAGATAACACAATGGACACGTACAGTATGATACAAGTCTGCGTCTGAATTGCTTCTTGAGTGTGTAAAAAAAAAAACACCACGGCAATAATTTGAGCGATGGGAAGTAAGTCTTATTGAACGTCGTGAGCTGCAGGTCCAACTGCTGCTTGCTGTTCATTCTCAGCTCAAGATAATGGGCCAGTTGCGTTTTACCTGACTACTAAGACGTAACAATAGGCAACATAATTCCCCATTATTACACACAGCGTAATGATCTTGACAACAAAGAGCAAGGCAAGAACCAAAAGAGAGGAGCTTCAAATTGCACTGCCAATGACAAGGCCTACAATTCCTCCTGACAAAGAATTATCAAAAGAAATCAATAGCAAAAAAACTCAAGTATTTTTTCCACAGCTTTGCAGCCCAGTAAAAGATAAATTTTTTTTTGCTGGTACAAAAAAAAGTACAGGCTTGCTAAAGCTCATCATTAGCTTGCCCTGCATGTTAAGCTTGTTTGGTATTATTTTTGTGCCAGAGAAAAGTGTTGAGAAAAAGGTGCTCGCAAACTCACAGAAAGGCAGCAGGCTTGTCTCGAGGGTTGGAGAAAAGGAATGGGGGGGGGGGGGGGGTCCCCTCAGTGGTAGAGGTCACACAGATTAGGCGAGGTGCGGCGTGGTGAGTTAATGGAAAGGAGGCTTTGAAAGCGGTACGGAGAAAAGGGGCAGCCTTGTCGAATCCCTCCTGCCTGCCTGTCAGCAAAGAGAAACCCTGAAACCCTGGGGAGGTGGGAAAAGGACCGCTCTACCCCGCACACGGATTGTTCGGGAATTCTTGTGAGGTTTCAGGGAGCGACCCCCACCTCCACCGCCGCCGCCACCACCACAATCACCACTCGATGATGCCCCCCTCTCGCCACCCCACCCCCTATGATTTCATTCATTGCTGTTTCTGCATTCAGCACCTGATAAAGAGTGCCTGCAGAAAGACCCACAATGGGGGACAACAGTTGTCCGATGCTTTGTGGGGTGTCCAATTTGCTTGGAGAGTTCTAAGCCGTACTGTAAAAGCTGGTTGCATAGTAATGCGATGGCCTTGAAAGGACACAGTGGGCGTCTCTGACTGGGGCGCTGCACTAAAGACCATTCTCTCAGTGCTGAGAAGAAGAAAAAAAATTAAATAAAGCAGAACAAAAAATGTGAGAAATTCAGCTCAGAAGTACACACATATACACACACCTATAAAAGATTTATCTACTGCAAGTTACTACTGAATCAGTAATAAACGTAATGCAGGGATTCTGTTTATGTTAGATTTGTATGACTGTAGATATTAATATTGCACTAGTCCCCCGTTAAAGCAAGTGATTGTAGTTTGGTTGTGGATTTTTAATGTTTATTTCTATTAATGCAGTCTTAATGTAAAAGATTGCAGCAGAAATATCAGGCGTTAAAGAGGCATCATAAACAAAAGTAGCTGAGCAGTAGCCTGTATGTGTTGTGGGCTTGGCACGGCCATTAATAATGCATTACTGCTGATTCCACATGCTTCCACTGCAATCATCTTTTTCAAAATGTATCTTTCTTTTTTCTGTTCTTTTTTTTACCACCGATCAAATAGCTTCATTTGTCATTTTACTCCCCGAGTCATCTCATTGTTTTGTCAAATTAAGTTTCATGGAGAGGGATTGCATCTTGCTCGGCTAGTAATGGCCCATAATTCAAGGCTCTAACTGTAACAGCTCAGTCATCTTTCACGGGACAGATGCCACCGTTTCCAAAGCTCTCCCCCCCTCCTCACACACATACTGATTCCACCTCCCCCCTGGTCTCTTTATCATGGCTGCCTCGCATGTCTGTCTATTGATTCAAACAAATGCAGCCTGACCCCACCTGCTTAATCTAGTTTGGTTGCAGTTGTTAGTAACAGTAAAGGGGTGGAGGAGTGTGAGAGAGTGAAAGAGAGAGAGACTTGGGGGGTGTGTGACTTGTTAGTCCGCCGCTATGAAAAATGAGCAGCCATTCTGCTCGCGCTGCAGAGGCAGATGTAGCAGAAATTTGCAATGATTGAAAATCAAATGTTTGCTCGGGATGGGAGGTGGAACGTTCACCATTTGAGCCAATGCTTGCAGTCATTACTGTGCAGAGGCCTGTGTAACCTTTTCAGTAACACAACATGAAACGGGACACTTAGAAATATTTAGCAAAGTGTTGAATACCTATGTAGCAATTCCTATTCTTGTCACAAGTGTCTCACCTACACTTGTTTTCCAATAATAAGATGTTGTCTGCACAGCTCTGCAGCTCTGTGGCCTTTTGTTGACTCTCCCTCCTGTGGCTTAACACTTCCAATGAAATTACGTGTTTCTGGTGTAAATGCAGGTAAAAAGGAATAATCTGGGATGATAATCAGTATGACTTGGTGTGAGTGTCGATTTGGTAGCGAAAAGGAACACAGCCGGGAAGGAAATAGCACTCCAGACTTCAATCTGGATCAAACCTGGCTCAGAAGTTTTTTTTTAATCATATGACGCAGGGAAAAAAAACCCCCACAGAAAATCCTGTTTGTTTCTGGAGGAATATCAGACGTTTTGATCAAGTCTGTTTCAGTGAGCGGCAGAAAAATGAAAGGAAAAGATTGTCTCCCCAAAGGCATAGGGGAGAAGGGAGTTCCTTTCATGCCTCCACCTCCATTGTCCATCTGCCCCAGCAAAAAACGATTGTACTTGCAAATTTTTCATTTCACATAGGCAAATGTGGTTTGACATACAGTATGCAGCTCCTCCTTACTGAGTATTTCTGAAAAGCATTAACATAGCCTGTCAAGGATGCTGGCTGGCTGCGCTGCTGCGTTCAGCCCTTTTCAGCAAATATCAGACACACTCCCTACAGACAGGCAGACGTCTTTGAACAAGAGGGGGAAAGAATTTTAAAAACACCAAAAAAGGGAGGGAAAAGAAATGTATCATCCCAAAATATTTGAGTTTTTTTTAATTTATCTCCTGTGGTGAATTTTTGATTCAGCTTTGCATTCAAATCGGTTCCCCATTCACCAGCTCTGCCCGGTGTGGTGTGCAGGTAGCATTCTAATTCATCTACTTACAATAATTTACTTTGCAGCTGTTACTCTTACTACTAAAGAAAATGTTACTAAAATCAATTGCGAAATTAGAATAAGGTGAAATCTGTTTTTAAAAAGTGTAGTAAGTCTGTGGTAGAAATAAATGGATGGCTTTTGGGATCTGGATTTGCAATGGAGGTTTGGTGGTAGAGGGTTAGGTCTCCTGGTTGATGTGTGCGTGACAGAGTGTACGTGAGTGAGTGAGTGCGTGTGTGTGTGTGTGTGTGTGGAGGGGGGTGTGGATTAGCCAGGCTCTCATAGACAAAAGGCAGATGGATTTGCACAGTTCTGCCTTATTCAGAATGGGTGAAAAAAGGTCAGAGGGAGAGCAGCGGCCGGCTATTGTTTTCTGCCACGACAACTGCTGTAGGAAACAAAGATCTGTCCCTCACCTCTGATTCATCCCGGGTCTTTGAAAAAGTTCAGTCGGGGTTTTATCAAAACCTTTCAACAAACAACCCCACAGAAACGCACCGCCGACTGATGTGCAGAGTGATTTTACATTTGATACACTCACATCTGCAGGTGCACGCGTGTCATTTTGCACACACACCGCCTCAAACACTATACGTGCTTGCACTATTGCACTATTGTGTGCACACAAAAGCCATGCACCAAAGAGAAAGTCCAAACACACAATTTGTAAAAAACAAAAAACAAAACAAAAATACTATTCTACAAAATACCAGAATTTATGTCACCAATATGGACTTTCATTTACAACAGACGGCTATAAATTTCACTTTAGATGTTTTGCCTCCCCCTTATATCTTAGCCAGACAAAACAGTGTGAATCCATTTCTCAGTGATATCACACATTGCATACAAATTAGGATACTCCTCCAAGTTGAATATCACTTGAAACATAATTTTAAAAAAAGCACAAATAGATTTAGAGCAATACTCTAGCAGTGCAAAGCCACACCTGGAGAAAATGAAAACAGCAGTAAATCCCATTAAATTAAATGTTAGTACAATGTTAATGTGAGATGCAGCTGCATGAAGCCCCTCAACCAGGGCGCGCCGTCAATCAGTGTCTAAACTCCACGGATACTCCCATTGCGCCTTCACCTCAAAAATTGTACTTTTGGATGACACTAGTCAATTTCTGAAATTCCGTGAAGCATTTT